AAACGGATCTTTTTAATTTCTGAGTTAATGCGGTTTTTCAACATTTTATCAAGAAATGCTTCTTAATTTTATCTTTAATTGTTTTTCTCGAATGGTACAAAATACGCATTTACAAATGGCATAGGTCATATTTTCATTAAGACATCTTCAGAATTACTAAAATTGCAAATATTTTGAGTCATCTTCAGTATCGAAGCACGAGATTGTATTCTTAAAGCCAAAAATATTCTTCATTATTGGATCTTTAAATTATTTCTCGTTTGCTTTTTTTTTCAAAATATTAGTAGTGTTCGCTTTTTTGCGCTTCTTACGAGAATCATTGCACTATCAAGAATTTATTTTATCACCAAAACACAGAAGTGTAGCCTAAGGAAAATATTCGTACTTCAGAAATCCAAGCGCTTGAGTTCAATTTTGAACCAGGACAAACATTTTTTCTTTAAACTTTTGTCAGAATAGAGGACAATTTGCAAAAATTCATTTTCATTTTTTTAAATTTCAACTTTTGGATTTTCAAAAAATTAAAGAAATGAAATTTGTTTCGAACCTCTCGCGCTTTATTTGATAAGGACTGTTTCTGATGATGGCTGAAGTGTACATTCTGTTCAGTGACCTCAGCGATTCTTTTGATAATCTTTTATGTCAAATCAGATGAGGGGAGCTGGCGTGTTCGATGAGTAAAATGTAGAAATGATTCGCATTCTTTTGACAAACGTTTTTAACTTGTGCTGAGACTGCTGCCGTTCCTATTAATTTTGTCAAGTTTCAATGTTAAAAATCAAATTCAAATGTGAATATTACTTACGATAGTTATTCTTTGATCAGGGGTCGGTATACTTCGAATTTAGTTGAACGTGATTAGCGCGAGTACTTAAATATTTGACGTTGTGGCTGTCCGTTTGCCTTCGGCGTGCATGACTTCTCTTTGAAGTTTCCACCAAAGAATTCATATTAACATTTTTATTCGCTTTTTGAAATAATTTGTATCATTGTTTACAGTATTTTATTTAGTGGTGATATCGGAACTAACTCTAACAGACAATACTGCCCCTTACCTCAGACTGCTCTCCCTGAATTGACACTTCCAAAGCATAATCACTTGCGTTCCAGCCACTGTGGGGGAGGCGATAGAATACATTTGCAGAGTGATGGTCTTTGTCAATGGGCAGCAACTGTTTTCGAATCTGTCAAAATAGTCGTTCACTAACCTGAAGGAAACATAGTACGATGGAAGTTGCAATATTGCCCAAACTCTTCGCTACTTTATTTCCTTAGTTCGTTCTATGTTTCTTTCTTTATGAAAACCTCTTTAAACGATTTATTATTCATCCACCTTGCTAATACTGAAAAAAAAACCTCATGAATGTTCAGTAAACAGTACGTTAGAGTGAGCAGCAGGTCAATCAGTTTCAAAGACAGTTGTTATCTCATGAAAAGTATTCTTAAAACTTATATCATGGAGCTCTTATCAGAAATTCCATATCTTCTTACCCTCAGAGTTATGTAATAGTTTTTATCATACCCTTCACGCACAACAAAAATATTGTGGTCTCTCGTATGTTTCAATGTTCACTGATTCTTGTTTTGTTGCTTTCTTTTTTCGCCGCGCCAGAGTCTGGCCACGCATCGAGATCGCGTCATGAAATTGAATTATATCACGGATCCGATTTACGCCATTAAGACGCCAATGCAATAGCTTTAAGAACAGTACGTCTATACTGCTAACCTTTAAACTCTTCCGAGAAGCTTGAATGGCCCCGTAAAGGTATAACTAAATACATTTCCCGTAGGAAAATGCGCGACAGAGCAGAGCACAATGTTGCTTATCCCATAGATTAATGAATTTCATAGCAAGGAAACACACCTAAACACACGCAATTTAAAGGGGAATGGTCCCCAAATGGAGGAATGAAATCAATCATACCAAATTTGCAGCTACAAAATTTCCAACTTTACTCACTTCAAATTCCGTTAAGAATAAACACCGTTATCCCATTGACTGTAAGTAATGAACCAGTTAAATGCGTATGGCTTTACATGACCCATAACTGGAAGTGTTATCATAATAAACTTAACAAATACAAAGGAAATTCCTTAGATGTATCACTCAAGCTCCCAGATTCATTAGCATTAAGCAATTACACTAAATACCATACCAATCTCTTACCGTACAGCCTTAATTCCTTATCATAAGCTTTATTCAAATCTCCATTTGACCGATCAAAACAGAAATCTCCAACTGGGAAAAAATACCCAACGATGAACTGAATTTAAGTTAATCCGTACATGCTTTTTAAAATATTTCGATATCAAGGCCCCAAACAACTAATTCCTTGTCTACAAGCAAATTTTTCAGTATCAAGGACCCACAAAACCCGAATTCTAACTACACGCATTAGAGGAACATGAATTAGCCGCTTTTTCGGTATTAGGGTGTCACAAAACGGATTTTTCTGTTGAAAATCGCCTATTTTTGCTGCGCCTTTACAATACTTTCTCTATACTATTAAGTACTCGTAATATGCGAGAAAGTAAATGTTAATTTCTTTCAAATCCAAGTTTGTCATGATTTTTGTTTCGACCTTCCAACGAAAAGGAATATCTATTAATAAAACTAGAAATATCCGTAAATCTTTAAACAGTGGTTTGTACTGTATACATATTAATAATTATAATGCAGTTGCTGTTGAAGTGTTTTCAAATTATGATGTTTTCGAAAACATCTGGTATTGCAGATTACTTAATTCAATAACCCGGCATTCTTATGTTTTATAGATCTAAAAAAAGCATTAGATAAAATACGTCTAATAGATGTCGTCAGACTATTGCGGGAAGGAAATGTACCACACAATCTCATTGCTGATATATATGATAAATATACGAATAAAAATAAGATGAAGGATAATGGATATTACAATTTCCATCCAAAAAACTCAAAGAATGAAAATAGCGAAAGATCATATTCGTGTAAGCTTGTGGTAAATGATCAACCAATAGAGCAAGTGCTAGAAAAAAATACTTGGGGGTAGTGATCATAAGATCAGGACAGATTAATAAGGAGGTAAAAGAAGGAAGGAAGAAACGAAACAGAATTCCGCCTGTTTGAATTACTCAAGTTTCGTATAACAAATATAGTATCGCATAAAAAAAGTAAGAATATGTAAATCGGTAGTTAGACTGATTTTAACATGTAGCAGTGAAACAAAAGTATGCAACGTCAGCTAGAAGTGGCAGAAATGTGTGTTGAGAAAAATTATAAACAAAAGATACTTGAATAGAGAAAGAAACGAAGAAAACATTTTTTCAATAGCGTGTATTTTATTACTTTAAGGACGCGAGTCGTACTTACGACGGGATGTTATATGCTAGAAAACCCGGCAGGTGTGTGCTGTGAATGTATGAGCGTAAAGTTTAAAAGGACGTCGCAGCGCATCCTGCCCGAGGCATTCGGAGGCCAAGGCGCGCGCTGTGCCCTGTGTGCGGTGCTGCGAGCGTAGGCGTGACAACGGGCGCGCGACGCCGGCGCGGCGACGCCCCCGCAGCGCCCTCTCGACACGCCCCCATCCTCCGGTTTCTCTTCCGCCGCCACTTTCGCCGCCGGCGCGGCGGTTCCGCCCCCATGACGCCCTGGCGCGCGAGGCCCCCTTGCTCCGCCTCGCCTTCCGCCCGGGTTCACTTCCTTCCTCCCTCACCTCCCCCTCTTTATCTTCCTTTTCTTCCTATCTCCTTCACTCTTACATTGCTCCTGCCTCTCTCTCTCTCTCTCTCTCTGCGTTCTTGTCACCCTTTCCTCACTGCTTCCTTTCCTCGTCTCTTTAAATACACTATTTGCATATCTATCGGTTTCGTTATTCGTCACGCCCCAATATTTTATCTGCAGATCCAATGTAATTGTTCCCTGTATCGGTTCCTTTATTGTGTTTTACAGTTCTCATAGACTTCACCCCGTGCCACCTTAGGTTGTGTTCTGTCGCAATCAACACTACCTACTTCCTGGATGCGCCTCGGAAAATCATTCCGATGTTCCATTCCCTGTCCACTCAAATCTTTCCACCTTGCCCTCCAGGTGATTCCTGCTCTGCCCGCCTGTTTCCATGACCCGCAACCCTCTCTAACACAAATTCTCTTGTAATGTCCCATTCATCTAAACATTTAATCCCCAATTTCCCAACTAACTGCTCTTCATGGGATTTCCGCTTGCTGTAAGAAAACAGCTCCTTTTTATAATCTCATTGTTTGTCATCATACTCCTGGTTCGTGCATGCAACCCTGAACCGTGCGAACCCTGATTCGCCCTGCCGTTTTCTGACAAACTCAATTCATTCCACTGCATCCCGCTTCGTGAAGTTGTTTCGTTCAACGGGCCTCAGAACACTGTGTCTCTCTCCAGCCGTTCGCCCTTACGGTTCTCTCTTTCCCACCCCCACCAGCTGAGTAAGCTTATAGTCGCTTTACCGTTAACTTTGCAGCGATTTTAATCGGGATGCCCTAGGGCTCGAACCCCGGCAGCAGATTTTGGACACTAGATATCTAGGACGAATTCAACAACTGTCTGGAAGAGAATTCTATCGACTGGCTTCTCTGATGGTTAGTTTTCCATGGTTTCTCCGGTAAGTATCAAAGTCGGAGAAGTACCTTAACAAACGTAGTATTTCCTTCCTCATCATTGCCCCCTTCCTCTCCTCTTCTACACATGCGCACTGAGAAATATTGAGAGTCAAGACAGTTGCTGAATGCTTGTCCCAGCTGTAGAGGGGGGCGCTTGAGGGAGATACTTTGGAGGAAAATCCGCAGCCGACGTGTGGGTCTCGTGTTCCAGCGAGGAACACCGCCCTCCCTAAGGGTATAACATGCACTTTACTTAAGGTACAAATGTCCATAAGCACTATCGCTGACGCGCCTAGAAGCCAATCAATCAACCCCCCTCCCTCTGTCCGTCCCCGCCCACCTGTCCCGCTGCCAGCGGCGCTCCGTGCTGTGACGTGCGCGCGCCTCCCCAGGATGGCCTCGACCTGGACGACCTGCTGCCCCAAGTGGGCGAGTTCGGGCGCTACCAGAAGCTGCTGCTGTGGCTGGTGTGCCTGCCCGCGTGCATCCCGTGCGGCTTCGGGGCGTTCACGCAGCTCTTCATGGCGGACGTGCCCAGTGTCCGGCCTGACGACTGTCGCCCGAGAGCGCCGCCGCTCGCCGTGCCCAGCCACAGCAGGTGAGCGCCCCGCGCCAGAGGCCCCCCGCAAGGGCTCGGGGCAGAACAAGAGCACGTACAAGTATCCCGCTCTTCGAAAATGTGAAGATATCTGGTTTGGTCGATGAGTACAAAGCCTCGTCTTGTTACTGCCCCAAGTTCTTCATTAATGTGAACAAGACATGGAGGTCTAGTAACAAGATAAGCCACGCTTTCATCTAAATCAAGATACTACCTTCTACAAATTGCGTAATATCTGTTGTGAGTTATCTTGTTACTTCTCCAAGCTCTTCAAATAATATCTCTAGGTAACAGGTAATCTCAATAAACTTCCCTGAGTATTCACACACAGGGTCAGGACAATATGCAGCACACAGTTTGCGTGACGACTCGATTAAAACATTACGTCCGTTGACATTTTGTCAGCTGCGACAGTTTCATCCAATCGCGAGCTTGAACGTCACTATAGTGATAAAGCTGACGCTGACTATCATGTCACTATAGCTGCCTCTACGTAATCATGTAACAAATTTACCAAATGTTCCTCTGGAACAGATTGTAAATATGCAACCATTCAATAAAATATCTACTTGCTGTCACGAAATTCTCAGTAAGAACATATTTCAGCTAGAAATTCAGTTATTCCCACAAAATGATTGGAATTCTCTGAATGTCCAAAAAATCTTCAAAATATATCACTAAACTTCAATATAAACTTCAGTATATACTTTAGGAATGTCAATGACGATTTTGAATTGACAGCGCTATATTATTTGTAAACGTCGAAATTTCTTCATTATCATTAGGTATTTCAATTATTTCCAGTAGATTCGTCTCAAAATAGCTGTTTTTGTTAATTTTGACTTGCATTGTTATGATTTTCCAAAAATATCCAAATACGATTTTCCCCAAAACGGCTTCATTTTTTCGAATAGAGCAAAGTGCGCTTATTAATAAGGTATAGTTTTGATTTTTATTAAAACTACTAAAATTTTAAAAAATTCAAAATTTTTCGAACCTGTTCTACACCTTTAATATTGAAGTTACATGATTCTTTCTTAATGCAGTCTACATCTGTAATTAATCATGTCAAGTACTTACATTTCGAAATATTAGCGTAATTTGAGTCGAATAGTGACAATTATTTCTTACAAATACGTAAACTTAAGTTTCAGACCTCTCCGCGAAGTCATGTTGCCTGGAGCGATTACATGGATCCTAAGGCTTTATCTAGCTATCACGCAAGTGAGCTCAACCCAGAGGGGGCGTGGACTCTCGAGGGTAGGCTTCCGAACTGTAGGGCAGACTCAGGGACGTTTTATGTTTACCGCATGGTCCGAAGTCTAGCGTCTCATTACCAACTTCAATAAGCATAGAGAAGCCTCACGTGTGACATAAAGGTGTTAAATTATGGCGCAATTCCTCTCCCCTAGTCGTAACCCACGTTCTCACGCAAATTATTGAGATAGTATGTCAATCAAAAATCACTTACTAGAATCGAGTAACTAGTCAAATGCCGAGAAACACATAGTAGTTTTTGACATTGACCGAGGCCTTTTGGCAGTCCCGTGAACTGTCTGGTCAAATATTGACTATGGGTTTTAATTATAACAGATACTATACTACAATATATCCCATCTATATACAGTACGAGGAAAAATTAAGGATTTTTTCCCTTTTAAAAGAAATACAAAATCCCGTAAGCATATTATTGCTGGACATGGAATTCCCTCCAGGGGTACATTAAAGAGATTTAAGGCAAAAAATACTGAAGTTTACATATTATGCCATGTTTGGTTAATTGGCATACAATAGATGTATATTGCCCGACGAAATTATCCGATTAAACTGAATACACAAATTTAGGTGCAAAGTAAAATATTTTTATGGTTCCTATCTATTTCTATTTAATTAATCTGAGACTAAACTGAGCATCAAACATGCAAATAATATTGATTTTATTAGTGTATAATTCTAAAATATTAAATATTTATGCACCTACTATTTTACTTCAACGTCGGGGTCAATGATCTCCATCAGGATTTTCGTCCAGATTCCCTGATCTTTGGAGCAAATGCTGATATAGCCCCTTGTTTTGCTTTTGAAATAAGTGTAGCTTCACTATTACTGCACGTTTTCTTGAGCTCAGTGGGGAATATATTTAAATAATCGTTTTACAAATTCTCGCGTCAGTAAGACTATTTCTTCACGAAGGGCACGACAAGGGATAAGAGCCAGAAATTATAATTTATTTACGTTCGTAAATAGTTTTCATTTCACGGGAGAGAATATTTCCTTATACATTCTTGCTAAAAACATTAATTGCTATTTGAATTTATAATTAAACTAGTATAGTACACACGTTAGAATATTTCAAATTTGACAAATATACTATTATAGACGAATATAATATAGACGAATTTCAATCGACGTACTTGGCTTATTTGGCCTGCCTGAGCTTTCTTTCGTCACACAGCTGTAGACTCTGAGAGAATTTGCTCTAGCTACCGCTTCATTTTTCCCCCGACCGGGAATGGAACTCAAGGCCGTTTCACAGAAAGTGTTCACATCACTGTGATCATGGTCCACCCGAGAGGCTCGTTAATTTTATTTTTTTCTTCCGGGAACTTTTTCCAGCTTTCAGGGATTACCGATCTCAGGGGAATACATCGGGGGGCATGTAGTGAAACTGGCGGGAGTCAGATGGAGCAAAGAATTGAGCGAATATTTCGCTCTGCTTGTGACTCCGTTCTGCTTTGCAGTGCGTTTAGAAACTTGGAATCTGTGTAAAATAAAAGTGAATAGTTAATAGGCCTATCATAATGGGGATATAAAGCTTCAATGTACTTATCAGGTTCTGGCCTGTTTCCGCTGTTAAGACAATGATTTACAAAATGCGAACTGTTTGCACGGGTCCAGCTAGTATAATACGACAATATTATTCTGTTTTATACACACAATTGTATTCCTTACATCTTTCGTAAAGGAACGCTCGAAATTATTTTCATTTTATATTTTCACAACACGTATTCCCCTGGCGGCAGAGTTGAAACGAAGCCCGATCTGATGCCATTGAGTAGGCGGTCGAAAAATCTAATACGTAAGAGTCACGCGACGGCGTGGCATGGCCGCCCCTCGCCCCTTCACAGAACTCAAGTGCGTCGAACGTTGCATCGGTCCCTGGAGTAGCGAGTTTGGTGTATATTCCCGTCGGTGAAGTGAATGTTTTATCGCGGGAGGTGCCAGAGTTCCTTCCCCGCTGGATGGTGATATCTGGTTCCGATCTGCTCGTCTGTTTGCCGGGGATTTCCCCCTGCTGGTATCTCCCCCCAGCGGGCCACGGCCCCAGCCTAAACAAGCTTTAAGCTCCTAGCAAAACTTCCATTTTGTTCCTCTGCCAAGTCCAATTAACAGTTAAGAACGCTCTTATTATTTTACCGTCAAGTGTCGTCGAAAAACAACTACATGTTTGCGTTGAGGTGCATGTATCATAACTTTCGAATTTAGAATTTATAAAAAAAGAGCTGCCATAATGAATATATAATTCAGTTAATTTAGTGTACTTTTCAGTAAAATGAATCATCATTTCCTTAATAAGATTACCTCTTATTTGAGAACGATATACTCCTTTTGTACGAATTAAAATTAAACTTGTAGGGATAATGATTTTACTTGTTTATTCTTTTTTTCAAAATGGAAACATTACTAGGCTACATTTTAAGTCTGTTTCTTTATCCGTGGAAAACATTTGGAGCCGTCTAGCGCCCGGCTGCTCTGATCGGTACTTTTACAGAGTTTCTCCGACCTAAATCAAGCGAATAACAGAGTATACCTTAGAAAATACCTGAACCGATGAGAGCAGCCAGCCGCTAGAATTCGACCCAGCTATGAACGTTATGTAGAAAATCCGACACCGGCGGCTCCCGAACCTTAGGACTTCCCTGACAGAGATGTTGCCGCTAAGAAAATTCAACCGATGTATAGGAACAATGCAGTGCATCTTTTTGACATGAATCATCTCGATGTTTTTTGGTGAAATTTATATAATACAATTTTTTCAAAGGTGTTTGTCGAAACTTTCGTACATAAAACAGTTCTTTGAAGGCATCTGATATGTGTGATGTAAATTGCTAGTCTTGATTATGAAAATGTGTTATTTTTAATTCCTGCATTGTTTTCTAATTCCAATAGATCAGTCGGTAGTTAGAACGTACCCAAAATAAACAAAATTAATTAAGATGGATGAATAAAAGTAAAATTGTTAGAAAGTCTTTGAAGCGTCGGAGCAAATCAAAACATTTCAATCGTGCTACGTGTTGCCCAACCAGCGTTTTAATCTTTCTGCAATAACAAAAATTCTGAATTTACCTTTTTTTTTCATTTTAACATGCTCTGTTTACGCACACTAACATTGTATTATGTGCGGGTGCTTGCGCGCGAGTTATATTTTCTGTGATCTGCGAAAATGAGCAGTTAGGAATACGAAGATAATATCTACGTCCTGTATTCATTTTGTCACGTAATCCGTGTGACGAAGCTTCTACTCTTTCTTACTCTGTCTTTCTGAGAATCTTTGTATTTCTTTTAAAGTCGTACTTGCACTTATATTTGTGTTATTTACGAAAAAAATACTCGTTTATTGAAGAACTTGAAGCAGTAACCTGATAAGACACATCAAGTACTTCAAGCTTTCCTCTATTTCATGGAAATGTCTATCGTATTGTTACTGCCCAAGCCCTTCATAAATAGAGCAAGGCTCATGTAGAAACAATATAAGGCACACCTTTGCTCAAATCAAAATAATGTTCACGATTAAACGATAGGCTTGCTGTGTCTGGCGCGGCTTATCTTGTTACTACCCCAAGCCCTACATTTCTAATAAATAATTCTGAAAACCCATGCCAATAAAGCTTCCTATATTACTTATATCGAAAGACATTTTAACGTCTACCATATATCATGAGGTTTTACTTCTGAAACATGTGAGAAAGGAAACAAATTATTCATTTCATAACTAACTTAAAATTGCTAGATTTTTTTCACGTGGAGTAATACTGTACTGAAATGGATTTTTTCCACCTTTCATTACATGAGCAGGCAACGACCTCTCTTGTAGTTGCGTAAATGTTTCATTCACTTACTCTTGCTGGTGTTATTGTTTAAACGGTGAATTTGGGGCTGTTCATTATTCCGCATATTGTCAAATACAGCTTTTACTCGTGCTTCACCACATTCGTTATGTATTTGCGGTCTGTCAAAATGTATCCAATAAGATGTAGATAATACATTTCCAATATTCCAGAGTAAATTTACAACCAGGAACATTTCCTTCATCATTGTCGAGAGGCAGAACAACTGGCGTTGTTCTAGGGTTTGAGTTATAATTAGCCATTTGGTGCAATTTATTATTTGTTTCTTTTGCGGTTTACCTTGGATACTACGGACGAACTCCATGGAAGTCTTTGCATAATACTTCACGACGTGTTTTTTGCTTTTCCGGAAGGGGCTTTCGTGGAGCCTGATAGCTCCGTGGATACGCCAGTTGTCTCCACTGAAAGAGCTTCCGTTCCCAGGGCGACCCGTTCCGCGGTGTCTATCGCGAAGAGCCGCCGAGCGGTGCCTTCTCCGAAGCCTTTGTCGAGCGAGTCATCCCATAATGCTGTTACGAAGTACCCATTAGCTATCGATCCTGCCTTCCAATGTGTCATTCTGTGTCGAATCGAGAAGAGAAGGGGACTGAGGAACTCAGGCCACACGGAGGTTTTTGGTACCCTTTTAAAAGATTAATATATACGCGATTTTAATTTTTATCTGTAATATTTAACTTGCTGTCGTCGGTTCGAGAAATCGGACCGCTGGAACATCCGCTAATTCAGGGCCGTCCACCATAAGGTTCGATTTCAGCCGTGAATACGATGTCTATCCTTTGTATGCCGTGCGTGTGTCACGTGAGGACCTCGCGTGTTTTACTCCACAACAGAAGTATCCGTATGGGGGTCAGTGACCATCCAAGAAACGTTCTTTTGGAAATATTAACCCATGTCACCTTTCAGTGAAAAAGTTACAATAAATAACATTCTGCAACACTTGATCGTACAAATGCTAAAAAATTAATAACGGTTAACACTACCCATACCAAAGGGAATTTTCAGAAGGAATACATCTAATCCTGTGAGTCTGGCGTCATAGGCAAAGTAAGTGCTAGATCTTTTACTTAGAATCGTTGAAAAAAACGGACATATTTATTGATGAGCTCTTTGACTGAAAATCAAATCTGTACTTCGTTTATCGATGCAAATAAGTTTTCTATAACTAGAGAGCGAAAATGCCTAGTTTTAAAAATTCGCCTTATTGGTTCTTTTATTCCTCATTCTACTATTGATTGTTACAGGGTAGGGAAAATATTCTGGGGCTCAAGAAAACGCGCAGATTCATTTGTCCCCTTTATGTCACGTACCATTTTTACAGTTCATTGACGAAAATAAATCAAAATAAAAATGATTACTCTAATTGAAACTACTCTTGGTTTCATGAAGAAGAGCTAAAGAAATGCAGAAGCAAAATTCGCAAACAACAAATAAATTTAATTATTTTCCGCGAAGATTTTCAGTCTTCCTTTTTGTTTTATTATGCTTGAACGTAAAATGATTAAAATTGGCCCGTTACTGCACTTGAACCGTAATCCTTCCAATCCGGAAAAGAGCACCTAAGTCCACTCGACATGTTACGACGGGAAATGATCATAAAGTTTTTCTTTGGAAATGTCGTATGTACCCATGCGCCAGTTAAATCTCCCAAGTTTTCGACCTCCCAGAACCAGTGCTAATTCCAGGTAACCCGAAATTTCAGTATCTTTAAAGCAATATAAAATTTTCTCTTCGATCTTATACAAATGCTTAAATGTTATGAATCAAAATTGGTTAATCCTAGACTTCGTGGCTTAATTTTGCTCCTTTCGTTTTATAGAGGTGCCAACGTGTGTTAAGAATTGTAGAAGCGGCAAGTGGCAGCTTGGGGAGGACAGGCAGTAGGACGGAGAATGACATGTACCTACTTCGTGAGGTGTAATGAGCACGGACAGTAAGGCCGTGCGGAAGAGTGTTTTTTGCTTAGCGATGCCACCATGCAAAAAGTCTATTTTGTACTGTTGCGTCATGTTTTTCGGGTGTCTTCATAAAAAACTAACTTAATATTCGTTTAACGGTGCGCAGGACATTAGTGCATGGCGGCTCATTTTTATAGTCATAGAAAAAATAGTTTAATGTACCTCAGATGAAAAGTAGTGTTTTTCAGACTTTTTTAGAACCTATACGGATACACCTTATACGGAAGGTATTTAGAAGGAATATTTTTGAAGAAAAAATTATGTGAATATTGTGCTTTACAATACTTTGATAATACAATATTATCATGTTAATTTCGTCTTTTGTGTGTTTGTACAGGATGTTCCATCATCTTTCAATCAGTGCCAAAGATACGCTGTCAATTGGACAGAATTGTTGGAGAATTATCAGTTGGATGAACTTCAGCCCAATAGCAGCTGGCCAACTGAGTCGTGTGTGCAGGGTTGGGAGTACAACTTGACAGAAGTTTCTTCATCAGTTGTTATTGATGTATGTGCAATTCCGAATCATTTCTAAATCCAATTATATATTTTTGAACCAGCTTGAAATATAACCTTTTTCAGTTTGACCTTGTTTGTGGTCGAGAGATTTATCCAACTATTGGACTGTCTGCTCTTAATCTTGGAGGTCCAATGGGAGTGTACATGTTTGGTTTATTGAATGATAGGTAAGCTATAATATCTATTATTTGTTCATTAGATTTATCACACTTCTTCATAATTTAAAAACAAGACTTGATTTAAAATAATGGAAAAAATAATTACTTAAAAACATTTTAAAAATCGAAAACATGACTCCCCTACAAAATGGAAAGAGTAAGAAATTAAATAGATTGGTCATGTAACAAAGCTCGATAACTCGATTTTGTGATATCTCGAAGCAATTATTCATTTCCTAAGTATAAGAACGAAATAAAATCTTGACAACTCGAAATTTGATAACACGAATGTTTGATATCTCGAACGGATTTTTAATTCCCTGCAGCAGTATAATGAAATCTAGGCAACTCGAAATTTGATAATGCAAATGTCTCAATATCGCGAAAAATTCTGTTTTCTTAGAAATTAAGCCCGGTAATTGGCAGAGTGCCAGTGCACTTAATTCAGTGCTTGTAGAGAGTGTCTCTAAGTTTCATCCACCCAATCTCCGTTTCTTTAAGTTCTCGCCCCGTGGAAACTGCCCAGGGGCGCCCAGAAGAGGGGGGCAGCTGGATAACCTGCCCCTGGCCTCGATTTAATTGGGGTTCCGATTCTTTTTCATTCAAAACAAATGTCTTTACTTCTAATCAAATAAACCGGTATAAGTTATTCGTGTTGCATGAAAAAATTCATTCTCTTTGTGTATTTGGGGACGGAATTTTTGAAATAGGAACTCCCAGATATTTAGTACCTCGTCTCTGAGCAATCGCCTCGCTTAGACATCTCACCCTGCCCCCGCGCAGCTCACTTCGACCCCCCTTCCACTCCCACCGAAGATCGCGGCGACGCGGCGACGTGCCTTCAAGGGCAAATTGTCGGCGTTCCTTTGAGAAAATCATTGACTGAGACGTCTGCAGATTCGTTCATTATAAAACTGAATGTCAATGAACCAATGTTCGTCGTTCATTTGAATTTTTTATTATTAAATTTTCAAATTATTGCGTCTATGGTGCATCTATATTGCCCTTTGCATTTTAAAAGTAGTTCTGATTATCTAAACTGCGTTTTTGATAACTCGAAATTGTGATAAGTCTAAGAATTATTTATTTCCATAGGCACTTCGAGATATCAAAGTTTTATAGTATTTCCCTTTAAAATGCAGTTCTAAAAACTCCTCGTTATTATCTCAAAAATCACTTATAATAAGAATGTCCTTCCTTTATTAAAATATATTATTTTGGCAATAGTTGTAATAATCAACCGAATTTGCAGGTATGGAAGACGATTTTCATTCTTTTCATGTCTTGGTGTATTCCTTCTTGGAAATTTTTTAACTGCTGCAGCACCTGATTTTTGGTCATGGGCAGCCTGTCGTGTTGTTGTTGGACTTACCATACCTGCAATCTACCAGATACCATTCATTATTTGTGAGTAATCATTTAACATTTCATAGCAAACTGAAAATGTATACATCTCGCGGGAACACATACATAGGGTGATTCAAAGTTGCCTTCCACTCGCGAAGTGGAGCTTCTGTTATCCATGATTACATTTCTGTGCGAGAAAATATGGAAATGGCCATCGGAATAAAATTATTTAAAATTGTTATATTGGTACAGCGAAGAGGCAGAACGAAGATGGCTGATTTTTTCTTTGCCTCGCGGTAAGTTTGCGTAAGGTACGTGCAGAGCCTAAATTTAGCTTGACGTATGTCGTAGGCACAAGGCCTCAGAAACTAGTGGTGCTAAAACAGCGCATACTTTCTCGCCTTTAGTAATAGTTATGTGATACTATTTATACGACAATTTCTCTCTGAATTAGCACATCTCAATCATAATTTTTTGAAAAAATCGTTACAAATTGTAGAACATTTTGTGCAAAAACTAAATATTTTCTAGCAAATTTCAACACAAATTTATCAATTACCCTTTAATACACGTAAATCATGACCCAAAAATAAGACATAATTCACAAAAAATAGCTCCCGTGTCATTGTTGCCGAGTCTCCAATCTGATACTCCCAAAAAGCTAGGTAGTAATTTTTATTTCATATATTTCAAAAAGCTTTTAAATAATTTATAAAATATTAATAAGTAAATGCATAACAAACTCTTGAATGTAAAAAATGGACATAGAAATATGAAATAATATACAAATTCTAACCTACGAAGCATCCAACTGCCGGGAATTACCGTAATTTGTTTTTAAAAGAGGTTTTGAAAAGCCAAAACATAAGGGAATTTGTATAGAAAGTATGATTTTTTCTGAGATGGTGATGTAATCCGTTTGTTTAATTAACTGCAATGGCCGTAATTGAAAAACATTTTATTTATATCCCTGTGATTTTCCTTCTTCATATCTCCCCTCCCATCACCATCCCTCCCGTTCTGTTAAACACTGTCCCCTGCCTCTTCCCCTCTTCGCCCTACCCTTATTCCTCCCTCCATGACACCACATGCCGCCGGCCCTCCACACTCTCCTCTCCTCTCCACCTCTCTCCCTCCCCTCCCCTCCCCACCCCTCCTCTCCTCTCCTCTCGTCTCCTCTCGCCTCCCTTCCCCTCCTCTCCTCTCCTCTCCTCTCCTCTCCTCTCCTCCACCTCACCTCCACCTCCACGTCATGTCACTCTCTCTTATTGCTAGATGCATAATAATAGGAGCATGTATTTTATGTTTTTAGCTTTAGTCGTTTTGATATGCATATAAGTACCACTTTATTATTCTAGTCAAAACATATGCAAAATACAAGAGAGAATGATAACAATTTTTAAGTTGTTTCTTTGAAATATGAATGTTACAGTAGGGACCCTTTTACAAGGATTATATCCTTTCATCAAGGAAAAATGAAAACATTGAATCTCAAAAACTTGAAAGAAATTCATCATCAGGAAAAATTGCTAATTTCAAATTCCTCTTGTAATGTGAATAAAGCAGAATTACAGACGTTTTTTGTGGAATGCCAAGACCATGTAATTCAACTGATAAAAATGGCAAAAAGACTGAAAATAGGAAATTCAATAGTGCTGCAAAATGTTCTCAGAGATATCTACCTGCACTTTAAAAACTATGCAATGTTTTCATTTCAAGTACAAATATTGATCCTTTTTTCAGCACTGGAATTGGTTGGACCTAGTTATAGGTCCTTTGTTACTGTTATGACCTGTTTATTTTATACTCTTGGACTTATAATATTATCTGGAATAACTTACCTTGTCCGTGATTGGGTGATGTTAACTCTTTGTACATCTACCCCATTTCTTCTGTACTTCATCTATTGGTGGTAAGTTAGTTTGTTAGTTAATTGTTTGGCATAAATTTCTTGTGATTGTTTTTTAAAAAAAAAAAAATTTCAAGGTTTCTTCCCGAGTCTCCTCGATGGCTCTTAGCAAGAGGACGTCTAGAAGAGGGAGCTGAAATCTTGGAAAAATTAGCCAAAGTGAACCAGAAAGAACTTCCGCCCAGTTTTAAGCAAAAATTAAAGGTAGATAGGTTGTTTAATTTATGTTCTAGAAAGTAAGTTATAAAAATGTCTGAACGATAGTAGAATTCAACAATATTCAGAAATTCATGTTGGTCAGTGTCAAATATAATTTATTCGTCTGACTTATTCGGTGGTCTAAACACGAATTTTAAGGCTCAATTTTATTTATTTGATCTTCTTATTATCAAAATCATTTTCATGCAATTTGTGCAATCCAAAAGAACAATTATTATTTTTCAGGATTTTGTTTGATTTTGAATTTTTCTTTTCAATTGTCATGTGTTGCAGCAAAAAATGATGCTTCAAAGAACACGAAGTGAAGAGAAGCGTCTTAAGCAAACTCCAGGAATGCTTCTTCTTTGCCAGACTCCAAATATGCGTCTTAAAACAATTTTAATTACTTTGAATTGGTAAGCTACTTTTTAATTAATCGTCTCTTTTGAAATTCTTTTGCCCCAAAAAATTAGCCCGTGTAAGTATTTTTGAGAAGATATCTCCTGTTGTTCAGAACACATTAACCCTGTGAAATGACTAGGTTCCAACTAACATTTCAGTTATTTCAATAAATTGATGCCATAAGTAAATCCATCTTGTCACTTCTTCAGACATCTCTCTACCTAGAGTAGTGATTTTTAGAGTAGCTATTTGTCCACAGGATTGTAACACAAGAATGTCCTTGTAGCAGGTCAGATAGAACCTAATCTCATTAACAACTTACTTTCTTTGTTTTGGAATCCCACCATTGCAAACAATTGACATTACATTACATTGCAAACACTCAACATTACTAAACAATTGCATTTTGTATAGTTTGGAATGAAGTAATGCCTTGAAAGCAGTTTCAAATGTTATAATTATTTAGTAAAAAAAGTTTAAAAAATTAAATTTATTTTTCATTTACTCACAACTTAGAAAACAGCTAAAACTATAAATGCTAAGTTAAGTACAATGAACATCCCACTGTTAACCACATTTGGATTTAGAATGTGCAGTTGCAACCCACTGCAATATGTTTCATAAGTATTTTTATGAAAGATAATTTATTTTCATTTTGGAACTCAACAAGAGATGTGGATTAGATAATTCTACAACCAACCTTTAAGAAGTAACTTTTCACAAATGAAAATAGAATGGACTGTTTTTCTTTTGGCAAGGCATCACCATAGAAAATAAATATTTTACCTATTAAATCTAAAAGTAAATGTTTATACATTTTTGTATAATGTGGACCTGACTATGCTAGTATTTCTTCTTCAAAGGGTGTACTTACTACTTGAAATGATTCCACCACTCCCATATTACTTGCTTTTCATCCAGTCAGTTTACAATATTGGATGTTACAAAATGTTTCCAAACAACAAATCTTTTATAAAAAATGTTTCAAATGTTTTTAGGTTTGCCAATAACATGGTGTATGTGGGGCTCAGTTACTATGGACCATCTCTAGGAAGCAACCAGTACATCAGTTTTCTGCTTTCTTCAGTTGTAGAAATCCCTAGTTATTTAGCCTGTTGGGTTGTAATGGATAAATGGGGTCGCCGATGGCCTCTTAGTGTTTGTATGATGTTCAGTGGAATCAGCTGTATAGTTACAGTCCTTTTACCAGAAGGTATGTTAACCTATTCTTGTAGAAATATTGCATACCAAATTTATTTTAAATTTGCAAATTTTTTTCTCTTTATTTTTTCATTGTTCATTCTTCCATTATATTACACAGATGCTGTCACTTCAACTTTAGCATTGTTTCTGATCTCCAAATTTGCAATATCAGCTTCTTTTTTGATAATTTATCCATTTGCCGGTGAATTATATCCTACTCAATTGAGAGGGGTTGGTATTGGAACGTCAGCATATATTAGCGGCTTGGGACTTATTCTCATTCCCTTTATAACCTATTTGGTATGTTTTACAATCTGTAGTTTTTAATTATTACATATTTTCAATGAATGTTTCTGTATAACTAGATATCTAAAAATTGCTTCTTTCAGGGGACAGAAATGCTTGTTATGCCACTTATCATTATGGGTGTGATATCTGTGGTGGGAGGACTTTCCAGTTTGCGCCTACCAGAGACTCTTCACCATCGACTTCCTCAAACTGTAGAAGAAGGGGAAGAATTTGGTAAAGACTGGTCAATAGCAGATTGTCTGCGTTGCATACCAGCTCGGTTAGTACATACTTTTCGAAAACCTTGCAATGTATTATTTAAATGTTGTGAGCATTTTTGCTATATATGTTGGTTCAATGCACATAGTTTTATATTAAAAACTGTTCACTACCTAGATAATGTTGAATATATTTATTGACACTTTCTTATACTGTAGTGTGAGATCTTCTTTCTGTGTAAGATCACATAGGTTGTGAGCTTTGTTAGAATATTTTTATATAGTGCCTTATTTTAGAGCATTTCCTGTAGTGTATATATACATATTTTGTAGGTACCTGACTGTAGTACTCCCAAAAGATTTTATTTCTAATACAAAAACTAAAGTGGGCCCAGCAGCTAGTCAAGAGACTGTTATTTCCACTGTTTCCTGATTTATCCAGTAGATTGGATTTGGTTAGTATACCTTGTTTTGTGCTTTTTTTGCCAAATAATGATCATTGTTATTAGATTTCATAGTATCGTGGGCACTACAGGAAGGATGAAAGGGAGTGTGGTTACATATTTTTTGTCTTTTGAATAATTTTCTTTTCATATTTAGCCTGTGTTAAAGTTTAGTTATTTTGAAAGAGAATGTCCCCCAAAACTGTAATAAGTAACTGAAAAAAATATTGTTCTGCAAAACCTCAGGCCACACCCTCTTTTTATCTTCTGCCAGAGCCCATGTTGCAAATATTTTTGGAAGGAGAATAACTTTTTTTGTCATTGATAATACATAATTGAGAATTAATTTAAGTGAATTAAAATTATTTTTGTCTTCTGTTCAAAAGTCCATCATTGGATGCTGGCTCTTATGAGGATCTGAGCGAGAGAGATTGTTATGAACTTGCATCAGCTCCTCAAGACTTTGAAACCACCAATGAAGTCACTCCTTTGGACAGACAAACAAGGCGACAATCCTTCCGAACACAAAGAATGATGCGTCAATCAAGTATTATGGAGACTCCCATTGATTCAGATGGAGCAATGAAAATCACTTATTGGTTTTGAATGACCTGTGCAGAATAAAATCCCAGATAGTATATGCACAATGTAATTGTTAAGAAGGTAGTTAATCATAAGACTTACTTTTCACACAAAGTTAATTTATTTTGAAGTTGTATATTTATTTGTTAGTGAATTATTTACAATAAATTTGTGGAAAAAAAAAAAAAATTTTTTTTAAGAAGATTACACGTTTGAAGGAATAAGGGAGGAGATTGCATTTACTACACAGTGGATGATGTATATAATTGATACTGAAAACCAGAATCACTGAAAACATTCCTTCTTACATTGCCACTTTTTATTTGCGATTTACTAATATTTATACTTCAACACAAAAATGTGTGTAAGTAAGAGGTGAGATTAGGACAAGGAAGAGGAAGGAAAGATCGTGCGTGGTCCTTGGCCCATTTGTTTCAGTATTTGCCTGGTCTTCATTGGAGAAACCACCAAAAAGTACCAATCAGAGCAGCCTGCTGCTAGAATTCTCCTTCAGACTGACTGAACTCGACTTAACTGTCTAGTTAGGTACAAAAATTCTACCACTGATAGGACTCAAATGTAGAACTTCCCAGTCAAAAGCACTGCGGTGATATCAGTTGATGCCCTGAACCACCTCTCATGACCGACCTGTTTGGAAAGAGGTCAAGAATTTCACTTAATATCCATGTCTTCCTAGTCTCTGAAATAGTGAATGTGTTAACAGTGAATTACATTATTGTAAGGAATCAAACAGTAAGAGTAACTGGGTGTATACTGGGAGATCCAGAATCGATTCTGGATGGGGCTTTCAATTTTTGGAACAGCTTATACATCATTTCATTATTGTTAGGAACCTATAGAATAAGTTCTGTCAAGAAATTCCAAGAAATTGACATTGAAAGTGGCATATATGTCAGAAATTACTGAGTGTTTTGGTCTTCCTGTATCACAAGTTTTTTTTGCTAATGCTTCAGAGTGGTAGTACTTCTTCATTATACATTTTCAATTACCTTTAGTCCTTTGGGCCCCCTCAGAGACCTGACTATCCTGGCGTATCACAAATCTCACTTTCTCCTCCCATTCTTCCCCTCACCCCTCCTCCCATTTTTCCAATGCTGTATTTTGGGGAATAAATCCTCCTCCTCCTCCTCCCAGAGGTCTCTTCAGGCCCATCTCTGACCGTTTAATATGTTGCACAGCTAATTTGAGGAAGGTTATCTGAGACTGGGTGGGTAAATAGTGGATTCATTGTGCATGGAATCTGCTTTGCTATGCCACAACACAACATTCATGCCTCATGCAGAAATTGAATACACAAACTGGATGTAAGGCATACCTAGACGCAACTGCTCCAAGCCCCTGTACCACCGGACCGACAAGAAATGAAAGGATGAGCGATAAGAGGGTCGGAAGATGATAAAATGTGCTTGTGAATGGGATACCATGGATATGGGCAGCCCTGTGGACCTTGCAGTTTCAATGATTGCTCTAATTGCTGTAGCGAAGTGTGCTGAAGATCATTTTCCTTCATTGGTCGTTTGTAATTTCTGTTCATCAGCTAGCAAGCAAAATTATTCAGATTGATAAATTATTTTGTTTGGGGCCATGGCAGTCATTTTGCAGGTAATGAGAATCACTGACCATTATTACGCCACATGTACATTTTTACCATAACGGCTTATAAAAATGTATAGGTTTTAAAATTAAGTATAATTCATATCAAATAATTAACTGAAGAACTTCACTTCCAACAAATTTTAATTCTTCTAGAAATCTCAAAGTTCATGTTAGTATGACTTTATTTTCTAAGAGTCCTTTCTAACTTCATCCACTCACTTTCCTAGTACGAACATGATAATTGTTGATGAACTTTCTTTGGCTGCAGCGATCAACTGGTTATAGTTATCATGACAGGTTGAATGGTAGGTAGAAGAATGTCTTTCAATATGGTTTGTTTACAATATTTAGCGATAATTTACTGCTGACTTCTATTACCCTGTGACCCCCCATTATTTCCACTTCCCCTTCTATTAATGTCTCAAATAGTTATGAGCCCATTTTAATAAAAGAATTTAAAGTTTTCTGAAGGTGTAATAGTATATCGTAAATATATTTAATCAGAGCTAGCCATTCTAGATATTCACAAGTCAAGAGCAATGACATTTGTTAATTAATTTTGCAAAAGTAAGCTTAAATTCTGTCCTCTGTATTCTAATGGTAACAAATTCAGTTCTTTTTGCCCTTCTTTCAATATTTAAGAGATCTATTATAAATTAAAGGTAATTTTAATTGTGTGCATCAAATTTAGGTTTTTAAATGAATTGGGGAGTTTGTTATACAGTAGTGTAATGCTTTCTATAATAGCACTGTTTTTGAAACAGTGCAGTTTATGTAATTTATTTTTAGTGTAGTATCTTAATTCTGAACTTCTGTGTTTAGAATAACCTTGTTCTCATGGTGATCTTCTTTGTGAATAACTATTTGAACTATATACATGCTGGCAGTATTAGGATTTGTAATTTTAATATGAAAGTACCCTCAAAAATTAAAAGATTAATTTCAAATTCACAGGGCTCTGAGTTGGGTTAGATCGATCATGTAGTATTCATTTTGTGGAAAATTTTATGAAGAGTTCAAGCACTAAGTGGCAGTGCTGCCAGGATTTCCACCACTGTGTTGTGCACAATATGGGTTTATTTTACTAAACGGGTGTGAATTACCTGATTCCATATATCTTGTTTCTTACCTAAATTTCCTTCTTTATTATTATTATTATTATTATTTTACTTTAGAATTTGATTTTCTGATGTTGTGGTATTCAAATACTTCATGTGAATAAATTTGTCCCAACAGGACTCACTAGTAACGAGTGTTAATGTCAATCAATAGCTTGTGAAAAAATTTTATGAATGCTCCTTACTTTATTAAAAGGTCTTTCATTCATGAAAAATTCATCAAAATTAAAGAAAGACTTTACATAGGATTACTAATAGGTGAACTGAATAATGTTTCAAATGTTAAAGAAAGGAAAGGGAGAAAAATGATGTTGAAATTGCAATCTATGGCAGGGAAAAATAATGTTGAAATTTATGGAAGTTAGGGAAATTAGATTTCGAATTTTCACAACCCACATTATAAAGTGCACAGAATGTAATTAACCTTTCAAATAATAAAGATTGTGAGATTGATCGGAAATAATTTGAGAACTGTAGCTACAAACAATATCTCTCAAAAATAAAAGTCAGTTCACTGCATTTCACTCAAACTTTATTAAATTTAAAAACTCACATTTCATCCTTTGAACTATTTACAGTAAAACTTTAAAAAAGTAATTAAAGCTAGTACATAAAAAAATTAAAAGATGTTTACAAAAGCAAAATACATTACTTTGACAAATTAGTAGCTCATGAGAACTTGGCAGAAAATTTTTTATAAAATTTATAAATGATTTATAATTTTTTCCTGTGCGCTGCCTCATTAATTGTGCTACAAAAACATAATTCTTATGCCAGAGTAATATTTATTCAGAAATTTCACAGGTACATTTGTGTCTTATTTTTAAATGTCAATTTAGAATATAGTTGTTTTCTGGAATGGTCTAATAGAAAATGTATTTCCACCTTCATTACTTCAATATAGAATGTTTGTTATCTACAAACATCACACATGCAAATGAGTTGGATTTTTTTTTCTAGATAGACTTTTACTATTCTTAATTTTTATTGAACAGGACTAGAATCATTTATTGCCTAAAACCTAACATATTATGTAACTTTTGTTTTTGCCTGCCACGCTCTTCGAGCAATTTTGTGAATTAGAACTAATTTTATAAACAATATAATAAGTAATCTTCACAAAGACATGATAACAATTCGTTCTGATGAAAATTTGTTTTTGGAGAGCGATGTTCCCAACCCTTCATGGAACCGTGATACAGGGGCTACTACAGAAAAAGCAACTGCTATGTCGCTGAATTGTCGTGAACACAATGTATCAGGTACTTAAATGTATTGTGAAAATATTCTATGATTCCAATGATTATTGAAACTGAATAATGTAAAAAGCTGCACATTTAATTAATAATGAAGAGAAACTTAAAACATTTTGTTCAGTCATATGCCCATTAGGTATTATTAATTGTAATTCTACAACAATACGGTAAACTGGAGTAAAACCAACCAACTATTTGCATCTTTCATGAACATAGCATAAAACGTGCATACTCTTAGATTTCTTATATAGAAAGTTTGTTTCCATTTATCTATTCTCAAATTTATGTAACTCTTGTAAAGTAGATTCAGTGCCGTTTTGATAATTAAGTAGGATTATTCTGCATTTTGGGATAAAACTAATCTATTTAATTTCTGTATTTTATGCTGTTCTAGCTTAAAATTGATCAGAATTTTAGTTTTTATGTATATTTTTTATTAATACAGTAAAGTTGGCAAAGCTTTAATACCAAAAATATCACAAACAGATAGTAATTCTCAGAGTTATAGGCATAAATTACACTACAAGTAGATTGAGAGACATAAAAAGCAAACAAAAACACAAATAAAAAGGACTAAAAGTTATCAAAATGAAGTCTTCATTCAACTTTGATATTTTGTAAACATGTAAAAATATCTTCCTCTCCTGATATAATGTCTCTTCTTTCTTAACATGTGTCTTTCTATCTACCAGAATATCTGAAACTTCTGTAAATGAAAAGTAGATATCTCTTAAATAAAAAAATTGTTCTCATGAAATTATCAAGGTTTTCGTGATTATATAAACATTTTTCAACTCAATCAACAACTTTTCTAGTTTGTTTGTTTGTTTGTTTGTTGGAAATCGATCCAATACAAAATATTAATATTAACCTCATGATTCTCGCAAACTTCTTTATTTCCTAACAAACAACTTCCATTTTTAGATTCTTCAGTTGAGGAATTTTCTTTTAACTTTCAGCTTCTGACCTTGCACTATCTTTTCCTGTTAAAGAAACTTCTTCAGGTTCATCTTCTTCCATATCTGCCACTGTAATTCCTTCTCCTTTTGGTATGTTCAAAACTTTTCCTCCCCCCGAACAGAGGAGTACTGGGTCTCCCAACACACACTTTCTCAAGGTGACAAACAAGTCTCCATCCATAATTGCAATCTTTCCCCATTTTCTTCAGCTGCAAAAGCAAAAATCAGAGAAAGCACTTTCTCAGGATGAATGAAACCAATCCAGTTTTTCTAAAACCATTAATAATATTTGCTGAAGAAAAAACACCAATTTTCTCAAATGTTTGGTCAAGTAAGGCAGGAAACTTTTTTTGGGAAGAACTCCATGATTTGCTTCCTTTCATTCATTAAGGATGTTTCTCCAAGCTGCTTTAAAGGGTCTGAAGAATGTCTAACATTTGGCACAAATGTGTTGAATTTGGTGGTAGAAGAATAAAATGAATGTTATTCTTCTCACAAAGGGTAATAACATTTAGACTGAGATGACTAGATGTTTAATCTACTATCGTTACTCTTATGTCTTTGAGTTTCTTTTAATATGGAATTAAAATCAATCTCCAAACATAATATGGTCAAACCATTTACTTAAATTTCGATTGTACTGGATGCTGTCCACACCTCTTTCAGTCCACGTGGAATAAATATATGTCTGGCCTTTGGTGTATGGTGGTAAAATAGATCTGTCAGCTGCAGCAGCAATCATGATACTCATACTAGCCTTGAATGCATCTAATATTCTCTCAGCAGGTTAAATGCCATATTTTACAATATTTTCTTGACCAGGGTCATCAGTAAAGTTGGTTTCATTATAATTTATTATGTGGGAAGGGGAGATTCCAGTGAGAGAAATGCCACGATTTTCAAAGTACTCTTTAATTGTTTCCTCACTTTCAACAGATCTGCTTCAATTAATATTCTTAGCCATTTTAACAGAAAGTTCTGTAAACTGACTCAGAAACCCCCTTACCCATTCTGAACCAAGCTGTTGTTTGAACCATTTTAACTTTCTTGTATATGTAAGTATATGTGGAGTAATATATGTAGTACAGAGAAAGTTATGTAATGTTGCAGAAAATCGATTTCCAGATTTCAACAGAAATACATGTTTTGAGATCACTTCGTACCAAAAAAGTGTTGTTGTTGTTGTTTTCAAAATGTCTGTCCATCTGAAAACTACTAGTGCTTAATCTACACGAAGGATTTTTTTCAAAATGGATATTCCGCAGTTGAGCTCAAAGCTTTGCTATTTTTAAAAACATTCTTTAAAAATTGGGAATACTTAACATGAAGACCCTGGGACATTTTCAAAGTTTTCACAAAAATGGCTCAACATTTTTTGAAACAATGGAGTAAAATATACTTGTAAAGATGGCAAAAGTCTGTTTTTAACTGTTAACTGTGAATTTTCAAAAATTTCAAAAGATGGAAATAATTTCCGCTGATACCTACTGTTACAAAACTGAAGTTAGAGATATTTCCTTCAAGTAAAATTTTTTCTCCGTAATTAGTTTTTTTCATTATAGTTATGTAAATTCTTTTTAAAATGTTTTAGTAGTTTTCATGCAAATATTGCATGCAATATAAAAAATACAAAAACTGCTCCAAATATTTTCTTCAAACTTTTCATAGGGATAGAGCTATTTGCATACAAACATAATTTTTTTGACATATTTCCCACACATTCGGTATGCACATATTAAGAAATTTATATACATAATTGCTCTTGTGAGTGGTAGTGCTTCAAGTACACTGGAAGATTTTTGAACACTCAAAAGTTTCATTTGAAAAAAGCTTCAAATTTCGTATTTACAGTAACGCTTGAACAACATTTTCTTAAATACGGCCCCAAATTTGTTAACGAGACTTTCCTTATAGGACGAGGTTTTCTCTTCTACAATATTCTTGAAGTAATATTTTGGTTCTACTATTAGAAAACCGAAAAATTAAGAAAGTTAGACCGCAAAGCTAGCCCAGTTCACAGAAGTTAGAAAACTAACTAGTATGAGAAAGTCTGTGCCATTCTGTAGTCCCACTAGTTTGATTTTACCAGAATGAATTAAATATGCTTGAACAACAAAGCGAACATCAAGACTTCTCAATGACATATCCTTTTTGCACATTGTATAAATCCCTCAGTGAGATCCATTTCTTCATTAGACGATAATGCCTACCTGCCTGTTTTGAATTTATATATATTTTTCAGTTTATCATTTAGCATTGTACATGGTACAGCAAACTTCTCAGATGCTTTGCATATATTACAATCATTTATCTGCACACTGACTGACCTATTTAGGCATTCCAAGATATAATCTTGTTTCCCACTGGGACCAAGTTCCTTTTTATAAACTCTCACCATGATTGGATTTACCCTTTTTTATAACAAATTCGTACATTTAGATTAGTCAGCCCAACAGAAATTGAAATACAAAAACTACAAATCTAAATACCTGTTATTTAGTATACTTGTGTGAAAATGTATTTCACTTCTATCAAACAATTGGTGTAATGGTATTTTTGTTTTGACCCTTGAGTAACACATGCAAAATTTTCATGGAACTATATGGCTCTTGATTTCAATGTAATCTGCAAATCCACTTTAACTGTGACTGATTGTTATATAATACACTTCCAAAATACGATGGAAAGTAATTCTCAAAATTTAGCGGTTGAGCAGTAACAATTCAAAAGTGAATTCCAGTGCGAATGATCAGGTTAGTTTTACTCCAGTTTACAGTACCCGTTGAAATTTGCAGAATTAATATTTTATTTACAGTAGCTGCACACAAACAATATTTGGCACTGAATAACTCGCAACCCAATGTGTAAATTAATACATTCTAAAATTTGATTACATAACTGAAAACAAAAATTTAAATATTGTTAAAAGTATTTTCTTTGAACTGCCTTCAATAGAACTGTGACCAAGCAAGAAACTTAACAGTGTTTATAATGAACATCTCTACAATATTGCAAAACACATGCATAGCTATGATGTAGAGTATTTTACATCTCTAATTGTGACAAAAAACATTAGCAACATACCACATGAATGGCTAAGAGCCAATCACATTCATAATCAACTTTATCTAGAGACTCAATGAGCTACATCAAAGATGAAGAATCACAATTACTATCTTTCTTATCATCTTTGCTCGCAATTGTTTTTATGGCAATACCACACGTTAAAATCTGAGAATAGGAAATGAAAAACAATTCCATTTCATTATAAAATTCTATTCAATATTTCATTAATAGTCCATTAACTCTTAAAAACAACTTTGGACAATTTGATGTTTCATGAGATCAGAACTGATTTTCACAATCAAATTTTGTGAGTTAAATTATTTTATTACCTTATTTTTAATGATCTTAAAATTATCAGATCCCATGAAACTCATTTTCAGTCTATAAAAAAATGTAAAACAACAAAATAAGAAAATTTTCAGTATTAATGCACAGAAAATTGTGCGAGAATCTGTAAAATAAAAATTTAATAAGTAAACACAATTGATCTAATAAGACCCTCTCTAACAGAATAATTGGGTTGCCCCACACAAAAAGTAAACAAAACATTATCGCAAGCCATGCTTGTGCCACAAGCTCCCATTGGATACCACCCTCCCTTATTGAGAACAACCCCCACCCGATACACTTTGTTTCTTTGAATATATATTGACCTGTTGAACACTATTTCAACAAGTGAGCCGTAGTTGACACGAGATGTCAAATGAGTATATGTTAGACGACTTCCGTCCGAATCCAAGAGATGAGAATATATAAGTTCTGAATAACTTTCCGTTTGGCCTGGACGGATTAGATTACATGATGGTGTTTCACCATTTTCTCCAAGCACTTGAGTGGGAACCTGTATGAAATTGATCATTAGTAGCAGGTAATAATGATGAAGTAAACAAATTGTACAAACTATTGTATATTTACCTGTACACCCAAAATGCAAATGTTTCTGCTCACTGTAAAGGAAACTGAGCAATCCAGTATACTTGTATTAAATATATGTGGCTGAGATATAATGTTTCTCAAGCAATAATATTTATGTCCTTCTTGAACCACTTCTCCAGATGGAAAAATACCACTTTGGACTGGTATGACTGAATTCTCTGTTGGTATTTCCGGGGCAGGTTTCTTTCGCAATAAGGTACATGTAGAAAATCCTTCAGGCATTGGCAATTTATCAGGTGTAGAAGAAGATATGTTCATTAAAACAGCAAAACTTTCATCTTGTGTTAAGAGCGGAGACAACGCAGGTCCTTCAGCAAACTGAGCTGGTGTCAAAGTTAGAAACCGAATCTTTCCTAATGCAGCTCCAAGTACAGATCTTAATGATTTATTATCATCTGGAGATAATCCTGGAAGAATAGAAAATACTAAGTATTAATAGAAGATTCTGCATTAACTTCTTCAATCAATCAACAAATTTCTCTTACTTCATAATTCAATACAAATAATTTTCTAAAAATCTATGACAAAATTTAATAAGTATCGCAACATTATTATATTATAAACTAGTGGTGCTACAGAATTGCACAGACTTTCCCGTATTAGTTTTCTATTTCCTTTGGTCTCAGCTATTCGAACTTGCCACATATTCTTGCCTGCTGCCATCTATTGCTGCCCAAAGTACATTTTTTTAGACATTTTCTTAATTTTTTATTTCCTAATTGTAGAGAAGAAATATGATTTTAAAATTATTAAAGGACAGTAAAAACTCCAGTCCTAAAGAGCAATTTTCTCCGAAAAATTTGAAGCCAATTTTAAAAAAAACTGGTGTTTAAGCGCTATACTTATAATACATTTGAAATTTGAAGCTCTTTTTCACAGAAAAGTTTTGATTTTTTTAAAAAACTTCATTTGAAGTAATTTTAAGTACTTAAACTCACAAATACAATAGTGTTTACAATTACACTGTTATAAATTCAGTGTTAAACCTGAAAATCAGACTTATGCCATCTTTATAAGTGTATTTTACTCTATTCTTACTAGAAATTTAAAGAAAAAAGTTGGAGTCATTTCTGACAAAATTTTGGAAATGTCCGGGGAGCTCCATGTAAAATACCCCCAAATGGTAAAGAATTTTTTTCAAAATCTTAAATTCGACTCAAGCCAGATCGACACTGGTTTCTTCAATTTGGAATAAATCTTATGTATGGTTTAGGTGCTTGTAGTGTTCATGGACTGACATTTTGGAGAAAAAAAAGAAGAGAGAGAGAGAGAAGGTTTTTTGGTATCAGGGGCCCCAAAATGTGTGTTTCCATCAAAATCGATTTTCTGCAGCAGTACAAAACTTTCTCTATACTATGCATGTTACTCCGTATATACATACATATATGGGGAAGTAAAAAGTTTAAATATATGGATAGAGTGCATGATCACTGATGGAAAAAGTGGAAATGCCAATTATCACACTAAGACATTCATCTACTCAACAACTCAATTGATCTGGAAGTTTCTGTGGCATCACTAATTTTACAAATTGTTACCAGACAACAAAATTAAAAGTATTTTGTATATTTCACACAATATAATGTATTCAAATCATGAAATCTGTTTTATTTAAACCTTTTCTTGTACACTCTCGTATAGCCCATCTCTGCACAGCATTAAACAAATCAAGCTCTGATGCAATACTTAGTTCATCAAGTTCCAAAATAGTTACAAGTGTTGGTAACTCAACATCTTCAAAACTAGGTTCCTGGAGAACTGCCTCTGTCTCACAGGATATGATCTACAAAGAAAGAAAAAGCCATTTCAAAATCTTGGAGATGTTTCACAAAGAATGTTATATTAATTTTACATCCTCTTACTCTCACAATTTTATACTTTTTTCTCAGTAGTTTGTATTGGAAGAAATTTTTATAAAGTGGGTTTTAGTTATTTCATCAATAATACTATCAAATTAAATCAGTTGCTTGTTTGCTGATGCATATGGTTTCTATTACATGAGAGCAAAAGTTTCTTGTCTGCAATCTTTATTGGAACCTTTGTAATTTAACACAATGAATGCCACCCACATGAGGCACATTTCACCCAGGGGCCAATCAGTAAACTATGAACAATATAAGTTATTTGAAGTACACTGAAACGGGCGGGCAAACATGTGGCAATCTATAGGCCATGCTTCACATGTGTTTTATTTTTCACCCAGAGGGGATAAGAGGTGCTGTCACTTCAGACACAGGGAGGCCACTTTCTGGAAAACTGGGGGAAAAAATAGAGAATTTTGTTGCTTGGTAAATGTCAGTAAAAAATCAGGTAATTTTTGGAAAAATTGTTAGAAGTCAGGGAAAATTTGGAGGGTTATATAAAACTAGATATTATTCCTTAAATATAATAGTACAGCTTTAGAGTATGAAAATACAAATCTTATCAGGAAGTTATTTATAAATGCTCTGGAAAACTGGGAAAAGCCAGGGAAAATTTTTCCAGGAAATGAGTTGCCATCCTGAGTCACTCCAGTGTCACAAAATAGAGCTGCTAGAATTTCTATGTGTAATAAGTCTGCCAACAGTCTCTTGGTTCCTCAGAGGGGCCTCAGCTGAGGTTGCGGATGGCCTCATGGTACGCAAGTGTTAATATGTTTAGTAAAAGAGAGCGGGAAAAGATGGCAGATTATACTCCTCTTCCTTCCCAATATGTTTCATACAGTTTTCATATTTTTGGACAAAAATTAAAGATACATAAAAAACATTTTTTTGACTGTTTAATTTTCAAATATTTCTAATGGGATAATGTAGTACTCACTTTTAAACATTTCTCCATTAGTACAGGTTCTTCAAATAATCTTGCAAATTCATATGCACGGCATGCATTTTTGGGGAATAAATCATTCCACAAAAATCTTGTGCATTCTTCAACAAGATGTGGTAACATGTATTTTTTTGCCACATAGCACAGTTCGCAAGCATTGTCAAAAGATTCAAGATTGATATTGTCTGTATAAATATATCTGAAAAATTCATTACAATTATAAACACATTCTGTTTCTTTCTCTCTCCAATTTTCCATTTCAAATCATAGCAATCAACTTACTCCAGAAATGCTTTAAAAGCATCTGGCTGTACATCCAAAATGGGTATGGGATCATTTTTCTCTGCCATTCCTCCAAAGAACATTGCTTCAAAAACAGGGCTAGCCATTGCTAACAATAACTTATGTCCTTGAAATACCTTTTAACATAAAGTTCCATTAACAATATAACAAATGGGCTTGCTTGATTCAAAATTATTGGAAATTTTAAAAATAGCATACTTGAATATAAAAATACATACTTGCTGATGAGTTGTTGTACCCACAACAAATCTACAATCACTCCATAAAGCTGTTTCGAGGAGATGATGTCCTCTTTGACTGACAGTTTTCTTGTGGATCTGCCAATCATTTGTATTTGTCATCTGTATCAAATTATTCAATTAAGGTATTTTGTAACGTAGTTACACAGTACCCATAAATAATGCAGACTTACGTTTGTATTCTTGTAAAAGGAGAGAATAGAACGATAAAACCCAAGGTATCTACAATAAGATCCAACTTTTCGGGTGCGCACTACCAAATTACAACACAACCACGACTATATTGTTAGTAAACAAGACCTTCGCTTGACAGCGTATCACCCTTCGGTAGAGACTTCTCTGTTGACAGATCGCGACAGATTTTCGTAGTCAAGGAACAGGGGGCGCTACCTACGGAGAGGAAGCCGAGAAACACTGAGAAAACAAACTCAAATGTACTTTCTCCTCCGCGATAGTACTCGTAACCTGGAAATCATACCAATAAAATGATATAATGTTCTCCTCACTATGCACGCATTAGTTCAAATAGTTTCGAGGCAGATCATTGAAATCAACACTCTTCCGGAAAGAATTTCCGACTTGGTCGAGGCCATTCGTACAGTACTTCAATATGTATGAGAAATTTCTCTGTCAGCATGTAAATACGGATATTTTACTTTGTAACGTGTGATGTGCATTTAATCATTTTTTTCCTCAAATTTTTGATGCTGTTAGCTGTTGAATAGCGTCACTGTCCAATATTTCTTATATTTTAATATCGAAGTTGCCAGCTCTATCTTGTCATACAGACATCCATGTTGAGAAATTAGTCAAGGAAAGCGGTTAGAGGAATAAACTCTTATGATGATGCATTTACGATAGCACTACACGTTAATTATGGCTTTTAATTGAACGTAGAGGTAATGCATTTTCTATCTTCTGTTGTGCCTTTGTTACACTCGTGTGTAATTAATATATTTTCATGAAACAAGTATTTTATTTCTTAGTGCTGCGTTAACGTATGATCTACAAATACAAGACAAAAGCTGTCATTTTATGTAGTATTTTGGTATATTCAACGATTAGTGTTTTTTAATCAATGAAATCACCCGACAGACTGAAGAATTATTACCTCATGTTGAGCGTGGGTGAGTTGCTGAAGAAGTGGACTTAAGTGGACGATAATAGTGGTTACGTGATGAAGTGTTTTGGTGCTGTTACATTTTATGGAATATAATTGGCAAGTTAATAATATGTGGAAAGATGAAATTGCAACGAACATTACGGCTGTGACAAAAATCGGTAATTGAGGAAAACTTATTTTAGAGAAAACGGCCACATGTGCCCGTTTTAATGAAAGGACATCCTGGTTCTGTCATTTTTCTGGGTAAGTGAATTCCTAGTACAGTGATGAATGCATGCCTAGTTTTTCCTTAGGAATCTTCAAATAATGAATAAATGTGCTTTCAATTTCATGACATGTGTATTAGAACTATTTTCTTGCTCGAATATGCAAGGTTTGGAGGTTAGGTTACTCCATCTGTTTTATGTTGTTTCATCATGATCATCATCGCCCTAAAACAAATTATTATAGTCAGAAGATGGATGGTATACAAGATGAAGATCGGAAAAGGCGCTTGCGTCAGCTGGAAGAAAAAATCCAGGATCCTCGCAGTAATGCAAATGTTGACTGTCTCCTTGTATGTATATCCTGAATAATTCATTTATTTATTTTATAACTTTTAATAGTTGCTTGTCCTTATTGCTATGTTTAATTTATAGGATACTGTGCAAGCTCTGGTAGCTGACTGTGATTATCCGTCTGTGAAACGAATGAAAAATGTTGAAGCTTTTCTAAATAGATGTTAGTATTGAATGATAACACTTTTTTGTATTGGTTGTTTGCCTTATTATTAATAAATTATTTGCATAATTCTTTTCTCATTCAGATGATACTGTTGCTTCGTATATTTGCAATTTACGTATGAAAACAGATGACTTCTCTCTCATTAAAGTTATTGGAAGAGGTGCATTTGGAGAAGTTCAACTGGTAATTATTGTCACATAAGTATGAGTAATGCTGATTATAATGTGCAGCTCTATAAATACATTTTTTGTCTTAGGTTCGACATAAATCAACTCAAAAAGTGTATGCCATGAAGTTACTTAGTAAATTTGAAATGGTAAGTAAATATCTTCTTTAGATAAAATGACTTTTACTTTTAGTATAATTCCTGGCTGAACTTTATTTTCACTTGGCCACTCCAATTGGTGGTGCAGAGGAAGGCTGGAGAATGTGAAAACATATCCATTTATGGTATTTTTGTCATGAAATTTCAATGCAATTTTTGTGTGTCTGACTCAAAGTTCTTTCGTGAAAATCATGAAGGTCAGATCTTTGCTGTTGTCTTAACTGAACAAGCAAAGATATGACTTATTTGTAAAAGTATTTCGACAGAAAAATGCATTTGAATATTGCAATTTTCAGAATGAATGTTATTTTGGATTAATTTCACTTTTTTTAAATCTAAAATCTCAGCTCACTGTACAGAATGGCCAAGTGGAAGTAAGCTATAATTATTCTCTAACAGAATTTTTGATATTTTCTCTAGATCAAACGATCAGACTCTGCATTTTTTTGGGAGGAACGAGATATCATGGCACATGCAAACTCCGAGTGGATTGTTCAGTTGCATTTTGCTTTTCAGGATAATAAATATTTATATATGGTCATGGATTATATGCCAGGTAAAATTTTTGTAAAGCATGCACATTTAGTTGTATTACTCAATGTTTTGTGTAAAATGTTTCATTCTTCAACATGAATTTCAGGAGGTGACCTTGTTAATTTAATGTCTAATTATGATGTCCCTGAAAAATGGGCAAAATTTTATTGTGCTGAAGTTGTATTAGCTTTAGATGCCATTCATTCAATGGGATTTGTACATAGGTAATTTTTTTCTTGAAATTGGTTTGCTTTACATGTAAATACATTATTACAATACACTAATGATAATTTCTTTACAGGGATGTAAAGCCTGACAATATGTTGCTTGACAAGCAGGGTCATTTAAAATTAGCCGATTTTGGAACGTGTATGAGAATGGATGAGGTATTGTTTAGAAATCTTATATTATGACCTAAGAATGTTCGTTTCCTGCCTCTCAATGTAAATTATGTTTAAAACGAAATTGTGAAGAAGCTAATCAAAACAAAGTCCATATGTGAATTTGAAATTAACTTAAAGATCAAACACTGAAGTGAGAAATATTTTTAATTTTTATAGAAAAGCATTTTTGGGGGAAGCTAATAGGTTATGCTTCCTTTCTACACAATGCAACTCATAGTGTGATCCTATGGGTCAACTTAGCATGAAGTTTACTTGCAACATGTAGCAAGAATATGACATTCTTAGATATTTTGCACTCTGTTTTCTAGGATGGATTAATACGGTCAGACACTGCTGTTGGGACTCCTGACTATATTTCTCCTGAGGTGCTTCAGTCCCAAGGTGGTGAAGGAGTATATGGTCGAGAGTGTGATTGGTGGAGTGTTGGTGTATTCTTATATGAAATGTTGGTTGGTGATACTCCTTTTTACGCTGACAGTTTAGTTGGAACCTACAGTAAAATAATGGATCATAGGAATTCCCTAAATTTTCCAACAGATATTGAAATAAGTCATAATGCTCGGTCACTTATCTGTGGTTTCCTAACTGATCGGTGAGTAAAACTTTTATGTTGAATGATTTGTGCATCTTAAATTTTCACCTGATTTGATGGATAGTAATGTGAATGTTTCTAATTTGCTCAATGTATTTCTGAAAGAACTCGAAGACTTGGAAGAAATGGTGTAGAAGAAATTAAGTCACATTCTTTCTTTCAAAATGATCAGTGGACATTTGATAACTTGAGGGATTGTAAGTTCTTTTCAGTATTTGATATTTTGTGTACAAATCTATTGAAATATTTTGACTAAACTTTGTTCCTGTGCTTTTTATAGGTGTGCCACCAGTTGTACCAGAACTTATGGGTGATGATGATACAAGCAATTTTGATGATGTAGAGAAAGATGAGAGTCCAGAAGAGAACTTCTCTACACCTAAGGCTTTTGCTGGAAATCATCTTCCCTTTGTGGGTTTCACGTATTCTAGAGATTACCAGTATGTATGCTCCAGTCCATACAGTAATAATGTTGTTAAAAAGGTCATTTATCAAAAGTTCTGTTTAAAAAATCTGGTTTGTTTGTGAATTTTTACAGATTAATGTCTCTAAAAAGTTCTGTCCAGGAACAGCAGGATGTGGTAAGATATTTTAGAGAATAATTAATTTTTTTTTCTTTTTTTATTCTTGTGCTTTTTGCATATGTATTAATGTGATTGTAATTGTATTAATGTGATTGTAATTGTCGTGTTGTTATGTGTTACTGAAGACCATTTAAGTTCACCATTAACAATATGAACTTTGTTTCTAAATAATATCCTCACGAAACATTACCTTTCCCTTAAATAATAGACAGAAAATCCTATTCTAAAAAGTGCATGCTTTTTTTTATCTTACTCTATGATAAAAATGTTTTTAGATACGATTTTTCTCTTTTCCATGAAATTTTGCATTTCCATGGGGTTTTACAACATGGAGGTGGATGTGGTAAGTTGATGAAGAGAGCAAACTTACCAAAATGATTCCCTAAATTTTTTAAATAGGAGTTTTCAATTCTAAACTTTGTTCATAGTTTGTGTTTAAAAATGTGCATCTTTGATTTTTGTCTTGGTTTAAACTGCTTTTTATCCAACTAGCTTACGCTTTTCTGTTTGTTATGTCCTATCATTAAACATTTTAAATTGTTTTAGTATTTGTTTCTGTATAGTTAAGATAACATTTCATTAATTTGGTAAGGTTTAACACTACAAGACAATTCCATAATTTCAACTTATATTACAGTGCATAACAAACAAAGGATCTCCTAATAAATCTCCAGAGCTGTCAACGCAACAAGTGAATGAATTGGAAAACTTGCTTGAAAAAGAGAGAAGATTGGTGAGAGAATTGGATGTCAAACAAAACACCCTTCTTTTACAACTGGAAGAACTAACAAGGAGAGAGACTGACCTGACTGAGAAAATTAACCTGTTAGAGAAGACCATTACTACAACAAAATATGATTTAAAAGATGTAAGTTTGGTAAAGTGAAAGTAGTAATCTAAATTGATGGTTTAATTTTCTAAATTTCATGATTTTGTTTCCAGGCTCTAAGAAAATCTGAAAATGAATCAGATATGAGAAGGAAAGCTGAGTCCTTGCTTCAGGATTTGAGAAGAAAATTAGAGGAAGAACAGAATAAAAGAACTAGAGAAATGAATAATAATCAACAAGTAAATGATAAAATAAATATTTTAGAGAGACAAGTAAGTGATTTCATGAAAAAATTACACTTGTAAATATTTCTGTCATTCACTAGATCTTGAAATGTTTAGGAGGTGTATATTGATACTCCTGGAAATCCTTTCTGTTTCAGCTTTCAGATATGCAGGAGAATTCAAGTAGGCTTAAGAAGCAGGTTGCAGAACTCTCAGTTGCCAAGTCTGCTGCAGAGCAAATTCAGGCTGAAATGCAGAGTATGGTATCATCTCTTCAAACTCAAAGAGATGCTTTGCAGCAGGAAGTTGCCTCACTTCAAGGTTACCTCTCTCAAGAGAAAAGTTCACGAACACAGGCTTCAGATCTTCAGCAAGAACTTGAAAGTTAGTATCATTTGCAAACAAATATTAGAACTGATAGCAATCAGTAATACATTCTCTGGTATCGTTAATACAAATATTTTAACAAGAATTTAAAATGAAAAATATTGAGTTGAAATAGTGTCAATTTGGGGGCCTGGTTACAAATACTTGTAATTCACCTCTGCTGCTAAATAAATAAAATATTTTGAAATTCTTTCATGAAAAAATATTTCCTATCTTCAACCAAATGCTAGGCAGTATAATTAGTTGAAATATGTTGTGTGCACAAGAAAGGAGATTTTATTTGTAACTGGTTAGAAAAAATTGCTAAAGGCATTATCATAGGTTGTTCAAAATTAAATTTATAATTTTTAATTTAAATTAATAATTTATATTGACAAAGGTAATGAAGAACTAATTTATTGCATTCATCAAGTTAAAAAATTTGTTAAAAACTTCTGATAAAAAATCTTTCTTGCATTGTGCTAAGTACTAAACATGACAAAGATTTTTGATTGTTGAATTTATTCTCATTTTGGAAGTGTGCAAGGAACCAATCTATGTATTATGGCTGATACGATTTAAATGAAATGATTTTTTTAAAGAAATCAATGACTTAAATCAATATTTAGTATTTGTAAAAAATGACGTATAAAACGCCTTAAATTAACATTAAACAAAGTTGATATAAAGAATATATTACAAACTTTTCTTACAAACTTCTTCGTATAATTGAACAATTCTGAGAAAATAAAATTTACAATATTATATGCAATAAAATTAACAAACTTGAGAAACAAAGAACAAAAACAATTTGTAGTAGAGTTGTGTACTAAAGGACTTAGATGATTGATTAGTTTTTATTCAGCATTTAATTTTAGTTGATGAAAACTGATTTAGTAGCAATACCGCCCTAATACATACCATGTAAGTTTCGGGAAAAACACGTTTAAAGCTTCAACAGTGTCCATAATTCTAGATTTGTATTGAAATGTTTGCCAATGCCACACAAAGATGATGAGTATTATTAAAAATGGAATTTTATTAATACTCAGTTAAAGAACAAAATTAACATTGTTAAAACTAATGAAAATAGTTAACATTACTAGTATTAACAATATTAAACCTTTTTTTATGTGTATATTGATAAAATTCCATTTTGAGTGGGAAGCATACTTCCCATTTACCGTTAAAGGGAAAGTATGCAAGCAACAACCATGATATCCCATATTTTTCGATAACTGGACAACTGTAAGTAGAATTTAATATTTCAAAAAGTCTAACTTTGTTAAGTTTTTTGATGAATTCAGTAGTTTTCAAAAATAAGTACTTCTTGATTAGGGAGGTATCTCACAAACAATTGGTAAAATTTCTTTGAATGGAGAATGCCTTTTTTCTAAATGATGCTAATAAATGGTGCTACCAGCTTATTTGGTAATGTGGCCAGAACAGTGTTTCAAGAGCATGAAACTATAAGTAACTCAAATTTAAAAATTATGTGGGGTAGGGCGGTAGTGCGTGGGACTCCTCAAATTTATAGTCTCTTTATTTTTTAATAAAATTAGAAAAATTTAATGATAAATTAAAAAAGTGATGTTTTAATATTTTTTTCTGCTTTTAAAATTACTAAGGATAAATAACTCACTTAAAGATTTTGGCTAAAAGTAATACCATTAATGCAATTATTTAAAATCTTATTAAAATCAAAAAAATCTTATTTTTAAATAAAAAAATGATTTTTTCCACCCCTACTATGTGTTTAAATTTTGTGTTGTGTAAGTCATTCATCCAATTAACTTAAAATAGAAATATGTTTGAATGATCCTTAGTTTCATTATATTGTAAACAGCATTTTTAGAGAAATTAAAATCACTTCAGATTCATTGACACTAACTAGACAGACTATATATTTCAGTGAATTTATGTCTGGGGTTTGAAATTTTGCATAAAATAGAGAAAATATATTAATTTCTTTATAGTTTACTTCAATTGGAATTCAACCCTTTAATGTGACATGCTGACTTGAGATGATATTTTCTTTCACATCTATTTGCGGTAGTCCTTATCTAGATGTCAAGGGATTTTCCTCTCTGCTGCGAGATGCCTTGTGGAGTTAGAGTAATGCTGCAGCAATGTACTGAGCTGGCTACCTATTACCAATCACTCAGTCCCTTTCCCTTCTCATGCATTGCAATGTTACCTCACCCAGTCCAGGCTCTGCAGTGCAAGTTTAATGTTTAAGTCGAATAATGTTTTTTAAATTTTGAGTAGTCGATTTTTTTGTATTGCATAATGCATGACCCAGCTGACATTTAGGGGGCAGTCTCACCATTTGTATTGTTGTAATAATTAGAGAATATTAGCAGGAAAAAACATGAAATGCTAGAGAATTTTTCATGAAGTAGTTGTGAATCTTCTAAAAAGGGAATGTGAAATTTTCTTTTATCAGCTCTTATCCTATTTTTCTAGATCGTCTTCAAGGTTTACATGCTGAAATGGAGCGAGTGCAACAACGTGAATCCAAGCTCATAGAAGATAATCGTGTTCTTGGAGAAAAGGTTTCATCTTTAGAGAAAGAATGTGCGTCACTGAGTTTAGAATTGAAAGCTGCTCAAAACCGTTATCAACAGGAAGTACGGGCTCATGAAGAGACTGAAAGGAGTCGTCTAGTAAATAAAGAAGAAGCAAATTTAGAAGTGGTTAAAGGTTAGTGTACAATAAAAGGCATTTGAACAACTAACATATTTTTTGTGTCCAAATTTCTTTTGAAATAAGTCTCGTTTAACCTTGGGAAATATATTTTCTTTTTGTGCTAATCATCAGGAAGGATGGATTGCATATTCAAAGGTAGTTCATGTATTAAATTAACATGCATAAATATGATCTTTTTTAAAATTCCATAAATATGCATGCAGCAATTTAAGCTAAGTTACATTTTTAAAAAAGGATTTGTGGTATCTTAGCTCTTCAGGCAAAACTGAATGAAGAGAAAAGTGCCAGACAAAAAGCAGACTTACAATTTCAAGAAAAGGAGAGGCAAATGTCAATGCTATCTGTTGATTATAGACAGATACAACAAAGGTTGCAAAAATTGGAAGGTGAACATCGGCAGGAAGTTGATAAGGTAATTTGTTTTAATTGTGTTAAATGAATAATGTACTTAATAGCTTACATTATAATACACATTTTATTTTTCATGAATTCATTGCCACCACTTCACCAAATACCTGAAAATTCAACCCCCCCACACACACACACACACACGCAGACGCAGATACACACACAGACGCACGCAGACGCAGACAGAGGAAAACCTCTGATGCCAACTTGAAATACAATATAGTACATGTTTATGAACATTCCTCCTCCCTCTCTTGAAGGGAGATCTTTTAACCAAGCTTGGCAGTGCTTTTGTGGTTCTAACTCACCATCTGAAGAATCTTAACAAAATTAATTGAACAGTCTGAATGACCTGTGTTAAATGTGTCTAAATTAATCAATCTGCAATAAGGAATTTTTGTTTATGCAATCTAATTTCATTTAACTCAATACAGCAAAAATTTCCAATAAAAGTCCCTTGCTATGCCCCATCTGCTGATATCCTTGCTGACATGTTCAACCAAAGGATGTGTACATACATTACTGTTACAGTGAATAAAGCTGTGCGTTCTCTGGGTCTGATTTTGCACAACACCAAATCCTTCTGGTCCATTGATAACTTATTAATCCTTTATAAAACTTTGATTTGTCGTATTTTAGAATACACCTGTCATTTGATCACCATACACTAATATATCTATCAATCATTTGGAAAACATACAATGTAAATTTCTACACCACCTAGCTTTCAGAAATGGGACACCAATTTATTTAAATTGGAAACTCTTCAGGATTGGAAAAATTGTATGAATTAATTTTCTTTCATAAAATACTACATGGTCTCATTGATTGCCCTGAACTTCTTTCTCTTATCTCTCTTCACATCCCTCAGATTAGAACGAGAAATCCTACCTGGTTTTTGGTGAATGCATCTTCTACTAACTACAGCTATTCTGATATCTTCAGACTACCTAGAACCGCCAATTACTATGCAGATAGTATTTATTTTTTCAATCCCTTCAAAATTTTTTGTAGTTGTCTGAAACTTTTTTTGTAATCCTGACGTTTAGTGATTTGAAAGAAAGCTTAAAATTGTCCTTTTTAAACACTCTTGATTCCAAATATTATTTTCTTTCTCCTTTTTCAACACTTATCCTTTTTATGGCTTATTTTAATTTTTGATATTTTGTACTTGTATGTTTCTGTCACTATGAATGTATTTTTTTCTTTTTGTGAAGGGTTCATCCTGTTTATTGAAATAAATAAATTAAAAAAATAACTTCAAAGTACTGAGGTTAAGGGTGCCTTCAGCTGAATGTACATGATGAATGAGTGACTACTCTCCCCATGCCATTCCTTTCCGGTTTAGAATGCTACGTCTTGGCTAGTTTTAAAAAGGGACATTATCATCTCTCAGGAGGAGCAAAGAAGCTTCTTCTATTGGTGGGCAAGTTGTGTGCCATTTGACACATGTTTGCAATTCCTGAGTTTTCTTTCTGCCATCAAATGCTGTCAGTGGAACAATCAGTTGTCTTGTTAGCTTGATAAGTGCGGCTGGACTAGTTATATGCATGAAGTACCAAGCTTTGAAATATTTTTTAATAATATTATGTATTTATTCAAATATTCACTAGAAAGGATAAAAAACTCATTTATAATTTTTTTCCAACTAATAGTCAATGTTCAACAAAATGTTGCATAAATGCAACTTTGGGACAATTGGGTATATGAAGTACATAAGACAACTAAAAACAATTTGAATTCAGATGAACATTCATTTTTTACATTTGTAAATTGTAGTGCTTTTGCACAATCCTTCTGGCTTTGTTTTCGTTTTTTACAATCACATGGAGTACATAATAACACAGAAGTGCGTAGTTTCCTTGGTTTCTTTGATCAACACCAGGCAAATGCCGAAGTACTACCCTAATAAAGAGTTTATTTATCTTGTAAACAAGACAACTGATTGTCACACTGACAGCATTTTGGCAACATGATGGCAGAAAGAAAACTCTTAGGAATTCCAGACTTTTGTCAAATGGCTCACATCTGCCCAGCCCATATAAGGATAGTTCTGTAGATCTCCTGAGAGAAGATAACTTCCCTTCTTTAAAGTAGCCAAGAAGTGCTATGGTCTGATTAAAATAAGATGGTGATTGACAGTCATTCTTCTGAAGCTGTTGCTTCATACAATAGTATGTGATTTGGATAGATCTATAAGTATTGATTTCAAGTGTTTATTTTTGTGTTCCGGGTTGAAAGTTGTTGTCTCTTAATGCACTTCTACTACAAAATGCACTACTACTAAGAAAAAGAAGTATTTGTATAGTACACTATACCCTTTATTCATATAAGATACATATTAATCAGTCTTCACTTCAGTCCATGTCAACTTGGATAATGATTCTGTCCAATCTGGGTTTAATAAAAATGTGCAATTCAAGTGTGCCAAATTTAGACTTCTGATTAACCTCACGTTGCCCTTTTATTGACTTGACAATCCAACTGATTGCCATATCCATAGCATTAGGCAATAAACTGGTATGTCCAAAAGTCTGTTGATTTGCTTCTCTTCCAAGTCATTCCTACCACTGTGTATACTTTCTGTGACATTACCATATTCCGTGTCAAACATTTTTTTTCTTCCTGGAACAATTGAATCATTCACATGTTTGTTTATCTGACACTTTGCCACCAATTCTCATATAATCCTCTCCGACATCATCAATCATTACAAAATATACTACATACCATATTGTGGCCTACCATAAAATATTGTTATTATATGATGTTCATATTTTCTATTTTAACTTATGAATGTCATAATTCCCTTCTTTTTGTAGGTGAAAGCTCTACATATACAAGTTGAGCAGGAGCAGCAGAAAAAAGCTTGTTTGCAGACTGAAATTGGTATGCAAGCATCGGAGGTAGCTCATCTGAAGGCCCGCGAAGCGCAGCTTACAAAGGAGGTGACCCAACTCAGGGAAGGGAAGAAGACTGTGGAGGATGAACTACACAAAGAGAAGGCAGCTCATTCAGTTGATAACTATCAAATGAAAGAACTTCAAGATCAGCTTGAAGCGGAACAATATTTTTCTGTAAGATTCCTTTGAAGGTGGAATTATTTTTTTAATAAAGATTTTAATAATAAAAATATTCCTCTTAGATCCATTTTATATATAGTTTTATTTCTCTGTCAATAACGGTTTATAATAAAAGTAAAAATAACCTAAAATTTAAATTATAGCAAATTTGATATGTATATATTATATAATTTTCTGCAATCAATAGTTTTAATAAAATTATTAAGTCATATCTACATATTAAAGTCATACATGTATACTATATACAGAATCACATGCAATGTTTTTCCTTGCTGCCAGAATCAAATGAAGATTAAGATCGGTGATGATTTTTGACAAACTACTGTATCAGAAAAATGATAAAACGTACTCTTAAAATTATCTGAAAGGCAATTGAATAAAGTACTTTCAATATTTTCATATTTATTATTATTATTATTATTATTATTATTATTATTATTAAACATTAGTTATAATGGGATCACAAGGCGTACTTTAACACAGCGTGATATTGTCTTTGTAGACACTCTACAAAACACAAGCTCAAGAATTTCGTGAAGAATTAGATGAAAAAATTAATGCAATGAATGAAATAGAAGTGGAACGTAATAATCTAACTCATCAACTGCAAATAGCTTTAGCTCGTGCTGATACTGAAGCTCTGGCCAGATCCATTGCTGAGGAAACTGTCCAAGAACTTGAGAAAGACAAGACTATTAAGGAGTTGGAACTTAAAGAAATGATGAACAAACATCGCACAGAACTTTCCAATAAAGATATTGCTGTAAATGCTGTGAGTATAGATTTATTAGAAAAATTGACAAAGTTTTAAATCGATAACATGTGTAATTCAGTATTTGAATTTACAGATGAAAGAGAGAGAGATGGATTACAAGAAAACAGTAGATCAGTTACGTAAGGAAAAGGATGAGACTAATAATAAGATGAGCTTACTGCAAGAAGGTATTAATTTTTGTATTCTTAAGTTATTTGTTCTTAGTTATTTGTTCCAAAATCCTCAACATCCAATTATTTCTATTACAAATGCAAGCGTAATATTTAGTACGTTTTGAATCTAACATGAAGTTAGTGATATAATAATATTAACAAACTTTTTGTAAAGGGCCTATGTAGAGCAAATTATAATTAAAGTTTATGATGTTCTTATTAAAAATTGATTTCTATTTTGATGTAACAATATTCTCTGAACATCTTATTAATATATTAAGTTGAATTATAAATATTTTGGTGATTTTGTTAACTAAAAAAGGTTAGGCCTTTTCAGGTATAGAAACTTTCAGAAATTTTCATCTGAGAAAAATAATTTTTTTATCTTGTTTTTCTCTAATGTTTGTCTTTTGTCTAATGAGAATTCTCATTGAACATGGAAGTGTTTTACAATTTGTTTTTATTCATTAGGAAAATAGTAAATTGTAAAGTTTATTAATGCAATTTAACAATAAAAGATCTTCATATGTAGTTTTTCTTTATTACCTATTTTAGACCTTTCGTTGTACACTAGAAATATTAATTTTTGAAAATTGCATTTTCAGATGTGTGGAAATATCGTGTAAAAAATTTTTTTTATTAGTTTAATAATTTTTATATTTGTGTTCCTAGATAACGAAGTGGTTCCTTTCCCATGGTTATTTTTTTTACTATTAATTATAAAAACAAATCTTCCTACACTATAAAAAGCCACTATTCTAACTTTGAGGGGACTTCAATTTTTTTTTCTCTTTTATTAATCAGAAACCCGCAAAATAAATTATGAAGAATTGGAAAAGCTTCACAAACAATTAAAACAAGAGCAGCTACTAAAGATGCAAGCTGTAAATAAGTTAGCAGAAATAATGAACCGCAAGGATCTTAGTACGACAGGTAGAGGAAAAAATAAAGTGTCCAATGCTGATTTAAGAAAAAGAGAAAAGGAATGTCGCAAACTGCAGCAAGAACTTACGCAGGTAAAGCTTTCTGAATATGTTTGTTCATTTTTGTCCTTTGGAAGTTCTCAAAATATTTGATTGATTCAGGAATGGTATTCTTTTATTTCTCTTACTTTTTATATAATTTGTACTCTGAATTGTTTTTTAATCTTTTTTTTTTTTTTCTCTCTCTCTCTCTCTCTCTCTCTCAACCCTCGAAATTTTTTCATTTTTCTAACATTTACCTTTCTTTATTCCTTTTATTTAATTCATTTTCCCTGGTTCCTTGTTTTCACTATTTCATTTCATCTACCTCGCTTTCCTCTCCCTCTTTGTCAATATTTCTGTATCTATTTATTATAGGCACAAATAATTTTACAAATATTTGTGAGATTTTTATAACTCTACTGAAAAGTACTTTTTCTTAGGAACGTGACAAATATGCTCAAATGTCAGCCAAGTGGCAGAAAGATGCTCAGGAGCTGCAAGCCCAGGCACAAGAAGATCAAACAATCAAGTTGCGAATGCAAATGGAACTGGATGCCAAAGATTCAGAGATAGAACAGCTTAAAAGCAAATTGGCATCTCTTACCTGTGAAACAGCGTCCTTGAGCAGTGGTGGAGCTGATAATGATGATGAACTTCTGGGGCAAGGTAATAAATATTGGATGTGCAAGATTGTGTTAAAACAGCTGGCTTTTCTGTAGGAAAGCAAAAGGTTGCAGTTTGTTTAGTTGTGGCTAAACGTTTACCTTGCCACTTGATTTATGGACACTACTGTAAAGGAGAAGGGGGCACGAACATGTGTGTTTTTTGACATACAAATACATTGGTAATTTTGCAGTAGTCAGAAGTTGTTTTATCATGAGTTTACTTGAACTGTAATAACTTGAACATTTTCTCACAAAGTGCAATAAGATTTTGCAATTCCCAAAATCTGTTTTATTTTGAGTTACCTTTATTTACTTTAGTGATGAAAAACATTTGCAGCTTAAAAACTTCTTGTGCCTCAAGCAGAGTAGTCATGCTAAAATAATGTTTAACCATTCCTAATTGAAAAGGGCTGAGAAAATTAATCCCAACACCCATTCTAGAGCAAAAGATATGCAACTTTTTTTGTCAACTCTACATCTTTTTATTTGCCTGGATTTTCTGTCTCTTTTTTAAGACAGATTGAGATATTATGTATTATACTTTTCTTTATTATTATTATTATTATTATTATTATTATTATTATTATTACTATTACTATTATAATTAATTATTATTATTATTCCTCTAATTCATGACTAAATATGTTATTGAGTCGTTTGGTTATAAAATCTATTCTGGGTTGTATCCAGCATCCTATGGCTATGGGCTATTAGTGCCTCTAGAATACTTTGTGCAAAATGTGGGCTGTTGCTAATAAAGCAATGTCTTGGACTTTCCAATCTTTTGGAAGACCTTAGAGTTTAGCCAGGTTCTTACACAAATTTATAAATAGAATAAATCCCAGAGTTCCGATAACTTTTGGGATGACCTGTGCTGTTACGCCCCACATTCGGCTGATCTCGATTTCCAGACTTTTGTATTTAAATGTTTCTTTGCTTCCTTGGTTATGACATTTTGATCGCATGGCCCAGTAACTTCTACAAGTAGGTATGTTTTATCTTTTATCTAATTCCTGTGTAACATATCCGGTTTGTTATCCACTATCATGCGATCATTTGGAATTTTGTTGTTGGACAAAATTGTACATAGTCCAACAGATTTCACTGGTTTTGATGAATATTCGTACCTCTTGGAGCATGTGTTTGGAACTTTGAGGGCATTACAAATCTGCCAGTGGATATAACTACACACCCTATCATGTGTTTTCAGATCTTTGTCTTTGCTAGAATTGGACAAGTGGGATGATATGATCAAAGCTTTGTACTTGTTCCTGACAAATGCAGCATTTATAATCTTGGAAAATTCAGAAAACTGCTTTATCATAGTGATGTGTTCTCAATGACTAATCTTGGGCAGCTATTAAAACTGCTTCTGATTGTGACTTCATTCCGCCCCTTTTAAGCCACATTTTTTATTATTAATTTTATTATTGTTATTGCTCTGAGAATTATTCATTTTTTGCACCCACTGTAAGTTTTATGAACCCTTAGTAGGTAAGACTGCAGAGTCATCTCATGCACTCTAAATATTTTCTGCATAATCTTTTCAAAGGATGGTAATTTTATTTGAAATGAAATTGAGCTGTAGGTTCTGTTTAAATCAAAATTAGCCATTTAGGAAGATATGCAGTCCATTGAGTTTCACTGAGATACTATATCTGTATTAAGTTTTTGTGCTGAAAGATATCTGGCAAAGTTAACTTTCACCCATAAATCAAGGAAAACATTACCAACCTTTCATTAATATTATAAACATCTAACAGGCTTCTTTCTTTAACATAAAATTTCTAATAATTGCATTTAACTGAACTTCTGTATTTTGCAGAATCGAGGCTTGAAGGCTGGCTCTCAATTCCAAATAAGCAGAACATTCGTAGGCATGGTTGGAAAAAGCAATATGTGGTTGTGTCTTCCAAAAAGATTATATTTTATAATTCAGAAAGTGATAAGCAAAATTCGGATCCTGTATTGATTTTGGACTTGAAGTAAGTAAAATTATTGTTGTGCTTGGTAGTTTATTAAAACTTTTATTAAATTAACTCGTATTGTTTTTTGTTGTTGTTTTTTGCAGCAAAGTCTTTCATGTTAGATCAGTAACCCAAGGAGATGTAATTAGAGCAGATGCCAAAGATATTCCAAGAATATTTCAGGTAATTTACTGAATGAAGAATCTTTTGTTTTTAGTCTTATATGTTTTCTGATTTAAAATCTCAATTTATAGCTACTTTACGCTGGTGAAGGAGAGGCAAGAAGGCCAGATGAAGGAATGTTAACTCAAGATCAGATAAAAGATGATAAACCTGGTACTGTCTCTTTCAAAGGACACGAGTTTATTCAAATAACTTATCACATGCCCACAAATTGTGAAGCATGTTCAAAACCTCTGTGGCACATGTTTAGGCCTCCACCTGCATTAGAATGTAGACGTAAGTAATTTGGATAATTCTTTTGTTTGAATTAGAATAAGATCTGTAAAATGATCATATTTTATTTTCTAAATGGATACAACATGGGTTGTAGAATACAGGACATAACACTGGAATATACAAGAAATATAAAGTGGAGAAATGTGCCCTTAAATTTTTATGTGCTGTTGGAAGGACTGCAAAAAATATTTTGTTTATTGTATAATTTAATTTAATTGTATGTATTAATTAAATTAAGTGAACACAAAAAATAATAAGATATTAGAAAGAAAATTCATTCAATCATTGAAAACCAGTATAAATATTTGTAGATTAAAATATCAGAAATGACAAGGAAAGAATGTGTGTGTTTTCTTTTCTCTTTTTTTTTTTCTTTTTCTCTTTTTCCCTTTACTTTCTTTCTTTTTCAAAATTTCATATAGATGGAAACTTTCCACTTGTTTTGAAGATCAAGGGTGTAAAATTAGATTGAAAAAGATATTAAAACCATTATATTTTGATCTGAAAAATCTGCCTTAATTATACCCAATAAAATACACTTACATTTCAGTGAATTCCCCATGAAAATAAGTTGCAATGTTCCTGAGATTAGACCATAAAAAGTCGGACACTCAAATGTTCAGTCCCAGAGACAAAAATAGTAATGGAGGTTTGATGTAGTGTAAATAGCTACACGAGGTTATAAAAATAATATTACTTTGAAATCAAATGAATATTATTATTTTATTAACGTAGAGTTTGCTTTTTGACTCTTATATTTGATTTATTTTTCTGAAGAAAAGAAAGAAAGAAGAAAAAAAAGGCTTCTTTATATGTAAATGTGTTAGCCTATTTTGTTTTAACAATTATGACAGACTTCTCTTTATTAATACTTATTTATTATGTTTTGCAGGGTGTCGCATCAAGGTTCACAGGGAACATTTGGAACGTAAAGAAGAAAATATTGCGCCTTGTAAATTGCATTATGACCCAAATTCTGCCAAAGAACTGCTTGTTTTAGCACCAAGTACTGATGACCAGCAGCAATGGATTCAGCGTTTGGGCAAAAAAATTCAGAAATGTGGTTATAAAGCTAATAGTGGTATTGATGGTGCCAAAGTTTCCCCAAGGTGAGCACATTAGTAAGGGAAGAACTTTGGTGGTGGTGAGAACTTTGCTATCTTCTCTCAAAATAAAAAGTTATATTTTAACATAATTCTGTTTTGTTTTTATACAAATTTTGCCATTTTTGAAGATCCTTGTGAACTCTTGTTTTGCTGCTTTTTCATCTAATTGTACCAGGACACCACATAGTACTCAGAATCACCATTACACTTACTTATTGTGATAAACCATCAAAATGTAGGATTAACTTCATTCCAAACATGTCTTTGTTAATGAATACAATAGTAAATTGATATTTTTTATATTTTATTCAAAGAAGCCAATTGGTTCAATCTCTGAAGAATTGTGAAATGTTAAATTAAATTCATTTCTAGTGTAAATTTGGTTAACATCTTAAATATATGCTATGTGTTATGACGTGATCTACTGTACTACTGCCATAGCATATAATACGTGATATGATGTTTATGCTTTTCAAAGGGAATGTAGAGCATTTTCATGTAATACTGTCTTTGGCCGATAAATAGTATTACAAAACAATCTTATGCTTAAATTTCGGAATTTTATATACTTTTGCTGTTATTACTTTTGTGTTAACTGTGCATAGCATTTAGAGGTGTGTTTTGCATTGGCAGGTCTTCCAATTAGTGATGAAACAAAAAACAGAAATAAAAGATTGAAAAAATAATGTACTGAACAATAAAAAAAAGAAGAAGAAAGCAATACCTAATCTGGAAAACCAGCTTTGTGCTGTTTTGAGATGTTCTATGTACAAATAGATTTTAATTTAATCTTTTTTATTATTTGCAAATTTTTGAAAACATTAATTATTATCTTAACTTAATAAACAACATTTTCTGTGTATATTGTGTTGTTTTTTTGTACAATTTTTTAACCAAATTTTTAAAAACTGCTATTTAAACACTAAGGGTAGACACTCCTCAAGGCTCATTACATGAAAGTATTTTATTTAATTACTTTGCCAGTAAATTCTGGTCAAGCAAGAAAGTGCTGGAAAACCTATGAAAGTCAGGGAATTGTTGGGAGACTGACAATTGCGATGGTCACAAATGTTATATTTTTTGTATTAGGGAAAATTGTTGATTAATCATTTGTACCAGTTAATGTAAAAAAATTTCTCAGTTGTCAAAGTCATCCTGTTCAAGAAGGTAGAGGATGATGTCTACATTTTATTACTGAATTTGTTGCTAATGAAATCACTGCATAGCATGGAGAGAAAAATGTGTGCTGGACAGAATTCATTAGTCATGTCACTGAGGAATCATAGAGCAAGTAATACGCGTTAAAGAAAGTGTCTGTAGTATTTGTACTTTTTGAGAATTCGAATCATTTTCATTTTTTTGATAGAACATTTTCTGCTAGGAATGGATAATCATAAAGAGATAAAATACAATGATATATCATTTCTTAATATTTTGATAGTCATTTCAGTATAAAATTATACTTTCTGAGATGTGATTAGAAATTAAACAGACAACATTTCCTGTTAGTAGCCCTTGCTGTGGTTGCCTTTGGCAAAGGTGGCCTTTGCAGTCTGTTACTGGGAGAGGGGAGGCAGGGATGGCAGTGAGGAATAGAGGCATAACTACAATAATTCATGGTCTGGACACAGGAAGAAACATCAATATCAATGACCAGAATGAGAGATTATTTCCATTGGCTTATGTGAACCTTTCTGCTATTGTAATTCTGAAGCATGGATCATTGCAAGGAATGATATAAAATATTTGGTAACATAATGAAGATGATGATAAAGGTAATTTTCAAATTTACAAGAATGGAACTGCGTGTTATGGCAGAAACATGCCTGCATTTGGAAACTTGGGAGGGAATGAAGGGTTTCGAGGTTTTCACAACAATATATCATGATAATTTTTCAAATGAAAGATAGGTAGACATTTTCTATTATTATTTAGTGTTAATGAACTTCCTATTTAACACATCAGTGTAGGGCGAAGCAATGCAAACTGGTAATACTTTTAAAAATTCTATCAATGTAAATTTGCTAAAATTAAAGAAAATGTATTCTGTAAATGTGATTACTAATACTGATTGAAGATTTTTTTCACTTCTTAGCACCATGTACTGCCGCAATGCCTTCTCAGGTCATTGTGGAGCCTTGGGCTCTCTCAAACACAACTTTGTTAATTTTTCTTAACAGAAAAAAATCCTTAATCGTGAGATATTGGGATTGTACATACCAATGTATCGCATAAACCCTCCTTAAATAATTGGTTTCGATATCCTTAGTTCACAACACGCTTTGACATTGTGGCAACAGTCACTCATTGCCACCCCTCTATATCTCCCCTCTCATCAGAACAGTCTCTGTGTTGCAAAAGCTACCTTTCCCTAAGATGACCATTGCAAGGACTATTAAAAGAAAAAATTGTCTGTTTAATTTCAAATCACATGTAAGAAAGTAAAATTTCATTATTAAGTTATTATCAAAACATCAACAAACGATTCATCATTGTATTCTTGTTTTTATGATCTATCCATTGCTAGCAAAAATAAAATTTAAAAAAAAAGTTATATTTAAAAAACAAAGATCATTAAATTTCTCAATTACTGCAATTATTGCAGACAATTTCTCTGTGGCTATTACTTGCTCCCATGATTCCACATTGTTGAGCGATTATGAGATTCGCCTATAACTGGTGGGACACCCTACACACGCACATGCACGCACCAATGCATACTACTTCCCATACCTCTTACCGTAACATTCGCACACCACAAGCTCACGTGTGCATGCTCACACCATAAGTTCGTGCGTGCATGCACACCACATCACATGCTCCACATACACACCCTCCCATCTTAGAAATGTTTCTTTGTATTTGTGAGGGATGAAAGAATTTCCCCTATACAAGTATTTTAGACATGATTTGTAGGCTCAAATACACAAAAACTATCAGTCCCTAACCTACCTACGGAAAGTAACTCGCACACCATTTAATAAAAAATCAATTAAATAACAATAAAGTGAGACCTTAATTGTACATACAACTGAAAACTGATATAACATACTATCTAAATATTAAAATAGTATCACCCTTTCTGCTACACCATTAACAAACCAATTGAGCATTAGTTGATTCATTCTTCGCAACTAACATCTAACAACTAGATACTGGGCATTAGATAACTTGAACAAATAGTGAGTACGATGCTGATTTGACCATAGGGCAAACCTAACATACAAGGGGCTGTACCGAAAACTTAGGTCAGGTGGCCCAAGGTGCCATTTACTGTGGTCTGCGATGGTTATTAGTCAAAAGTTAAATCCCATGGATCCATGTCGAGCGAGAACATTGTATATCTAGCGCAAATGTCCTGCTGGAGTCGACACCCCTAAATGTAAAAAAAGGTTAAGTTTAGTTTTTAAGGATTTTTTCTAGTAAATTCAAAAATTCGAAGTCGTCCCAAAGTGTTTCACTGCATCATGCACATTATAGCTTGGTAACAGGCATGGTTCCCTCCCCTCCCACTGTTTCCGAGTAGCCAGGCAAACTGCCAATATTAACAATATGGAAAAGCAGGTGTGGATTAATGAAAATAATACCAGCAACCATATTAAAATGTTTTAGTCGTGGCCCTTGTGGCCTTGTATCTCTGACATAGGTGAATATTAGTCATCATACATGAGTTCGAGTCATCATACATTCTATGAGTTTGAAATCAAAGTTTGTGTTTGTGTTCTACTTTTCTAAATAGTTACACAAATTACAATGATTGGGCTTTGGTAAATAATCATTCAAGAACTAATTTCCAGATGTTAAGTTTTTAAAGATGTACAGAAGGCTACATGCACAATTTCCTTCCATTATTTTTTTGTTTCAATTTACAATTGCCAAAAGAAAGGGAAAAACACCATCATTGGGTACAAAAAATTAAATGGGTAATTTTTCTTAAATCAAAGCTCTTTTGTACAGTATTCCCTTTTAAAAGCTCTTTGGCATTCACTCAAGACCTAAAACATAATCTTCTTCTAAAGAAATGTCGATTACCCATATTCCACATTTGATCTTTTCTTAACCCTGTGTGTCCTTTTGCAGAGAGTCTACTCGTTCTTCCTTGAAGCAATATGCAATGGCTCAGCAACGTTCTGCAACTCTACCAGCTAACACTTCAGCTATCGGAAAATGACAAAGGTATCTGAAGTGGAAAGTAGAAAATAATTATTAAGAGTTATAGTTGACCTGTGATCCAGTGTTTTTATGACTTTCCTGTTGTGAATTTTTTGCGTCATTGGAGATGTTTTTTTAAGTACACTACTTTTGGAGTAGGAGAGCATGTGTGATTTCCACTAGTGTAAGGTGGAAACAGTGCAGTTCTATACGTCCAGGTTGATGTTACCATACCATTAGTCTGCCCCTTACTAATGGAAATTTTCATTTACTACATGATTTGCTAATATGGATTCATAGCAGACTATCTCCAGTGACATACCCTGTGATGAGTTAAAACTTGCCTAGGTATGCAATGTTAAGCTATGGATTTATTTTTTTTATGGTACAAAGACTAACATTGTTTAATTCAGACAAGGATGCATGCTGAAGTGACAGTTTCCTTGAATTTAGTAGAGGAGACATACTGCTTTTCATGACTGACTTAGTTAAGCCAAAGTGTTGCAGAAGTTTGAAACCTCTGCTTCCATTGCTGTCATTTGAATAGAAAAATTCTAGACTCTAAGCTCACTTGTTTTTTTTCACATTCCTGTATTTGCATAGGTTTAGCAATTGCCATTCTGTATATTTTTAACACTCTTGCTCACTCGGTAATCCTTTTCTGTGCCAATGGAGCTGAGAATGGAATCTCAAAAAAACGAAAACAAAAACAAAAGATTTTAAGAAGCGTTCTTTAATGAGCTATTCATCAAGTTCAGAACGTGTGTTTGTATATTGGTTTAGTCTTGTTATTTATACCTTTTGTTAAAAAGAAGAGATTCATAAAACTTGTGTGCTGTTTTCCCCCTCTTCCCTTTCCTGCAGCTGCAAATATTGTATTTGCAGCTGACAAACTTGTACATTGTGCCTTTAAAATAACCAGGAAGATGAGTGAGATAACCCTCATATGTGGTACTCGCAGTTTTATATTATTATATAATTATAATTATTATTATGATTGCTATTGCATTTGGAAAGTTTTTCTGTCAGTGAATGAACTTTAATGTTACTGCAGTATACACTGAAATACAATGGAAAATAGTTGCAGATATTTACTCGTGTATCATATTAATAAAAGAACTATTTTGTAGATACTGATGATTATGTTGTGCTGTTTTTGTGTATGTGAGTTACTGCTTGTGTACACAATAAAAAAGTCAACGAAATTTCAAACTAATTTTGTTTTTTATTTTTTTTGGAAGGGCATGTGAGTGAAAATAACTTGTGAATGTTATATGCAAACCTGATCTTTAAAGGACAGGAATTACATCAGTACCCAAACCATTGTTTCCTTATTACTTCAACTTCTTATCTGGTAAACCAGTTAAGTGTGTCAACTTCCTGACTAGTCTTTATCTTCTTGCCATCCTTGAAGTATAAAGAGAGATAAGTTCTATGATTCACTCTAGGTGATGTGTATTGTGTTGCCAGAAGTTGAAGAGAACAAGAATATAAGATTTTTTAATTTGCGTATGTCACACAATATAAACAAAATGTTAGATTTGTTGTTTTTATTCTTATGTCTTGGTGTTTTTTTCCTCTGCCAAGTAAGAACAACTACTTAGTTTGTTTCACTTATTGAATAAATTGAATAACAATTTATATCACTTTATATTAAAAGTAACCTATTCCCTGTAAATAGCCACCTTTAATATTTCCATTTTTGTAATTTCATCACTTGAAAAAATCTCTTTAATATATTATTTGTTTAATGGAAAATTCTGATTTTATGAATAGGTTGTATTGTCAATGAAACATTTAGAAGTTATTCTTCTTTCCTCTGTACTCTGGCATGTTGTACAAACAAAACAATTATATTGGACTTAATGTATTAACATGCTTGTTTAACAGTTGCGAGAAAGCATGAGGGAGAAATCTGTAATAACATCTTACAATCAAAGTGGTAATGTCCATTCTCACGAGTTGGTAAGTTAATGTGTGTTCACAGGAAGTGAGATGTCAATCTTTTATACGTAAGTACAAAATGCAATTGCAGGAAACAGTTCAGCAAGAGGTACAGGAATCAAAATTGGATACAAACATTTGCAAAATTATTAAACATTTGGAAGAAGAACAGAAAGTTTTGTTTCAGCATTTGAAGAAAGCTTTAGCATTTGGAGATGAGATGCAAGTTGCATATTCTTTCTCTGAAAAGAAAGTGATGCGCCTTGAAAGAGAGCTTGATGATAAAGAAAATGAGGCTATTAGGACTTTACAAAAGTTGGGGAAGAAGGAAGATCTTGTGTTTTGTGCAAGTACAAAAATTGTATATTGAATCAAAAACTTACTTTTTCTTTTAACAGTCTGTTGAAGTTAACAATACTGAAAAGTAATTTTTTTTCAGTTGTCAGAACGTAATAATTATTACAAAAGAGAAGTACATAGATTATTGTTGGAAAATTCTTCTTTACGGCAAAGGGTTGAATTACTTAGCAAAGGTAACATCAGGATCTGTAAAATTATTTTAAACAAATTTATCACATTGGGATCTGCTTTTAGTAAAAAGTTGTTGTAAAATTATTTTTCATTTTGTCATTCATCTTTGCAGAGGTACAAGAATGGAAGAATAAATTTGACTTGCCAATTTATGAGTCTAGTTCAAGACATAAATGTCAGGAGGATAATAGAATTAATCCATGGAATCAAGTAGCATGTAATACAGAAGAAGTTTGTACAGAAAGTCAAGAGGTTAAAATAATTTATGTATTTTTGATTACATATATTCATATTGCTATGGTATGAGATCATAGAAGGATATGTGCACATAAATATTTCAATTTTATTTATTAAATATACAAAGCTTTAAGCAACATTTACATTGAAAATCATTTGTTTTGGCATTGACTCATATATTTTTCTTTCAGGAGTCTTCAATAGTAACACGGTTATAAAGAGAAAAGTTGTAAATTAAAACAATAAATTAGGCAACAAAATGGAAACTTTTGAATTGAATGTATGCATGGACCTAGATATAGAATTAAATACCATCATTTTGAAATACTGCTTTGTAGCATGATTTTATGAAATGCATTTGTTTTATGGCTGATTACATGAATGCCACTTGATATCAGTCTTAATAGCACCAGCTGTCTTTGTGTAGTATGTAAATATAAAATGCATTACGTGAGTGCTTTATATGCAATGTTATCATTTACAATATATGGTTAATCATTCATTGGCACGTTTCAAAGTTTTCTAATAAATTAATGTAATTCAATAATCCAATTACTGAATGAAACTTGTTCTTATAATGATGATATTCTAATACTATTAACAGTAACAAGAGTGCAAGAGCCTACAGCTGTTTGAATAACATTACATCCTTGTTTATGATTTTAAATGTGAATATTTACTTCAAAAAAGGCGGACTTCTTTTTTCAAATTTGTTTGCTTCCATGTAGGGAGTTCACAGAATGTTTGGTAGTCCATCTGGAAAGCTGTTACAAAGTCATCCTTTGATAGGTGAAGCTGAAATAAAAATCATTTTTGTTTTTTTAAAATTTTGATGTTTACATACTAATTTTATTATTTTACGCATATGCATTTCATTTTAAAATTCCATTTTATAGTGTTACCTCCTTGTGCAATTTATTCACATCCTCTGGTAATTCATCTGCTGGAGTTTCTTGTAAAAATTCGAGAGAATACTTAGGATGTTCATAGAAACTTTGCTCACTTGTAAATCCCGACTCTACATCATCATTTCCATTATATTTAATTACTGGGTTCTGTTCCTCAATTTGCATTCTCAACTTTTCAAATGTTGTTGCTTCCTAAAATGATTGTAAATTCAGTCATAAGTGTTCTCTGTGAATAGAATCATCTTCATTCGATATTTTAAAGTGTTTACTTACATCCCATAGTGATGGATCCCATGCAGGGAAGAATCCTGTGAATGTTGGAGGCTCAAATCCTTGTTTAACTTGAATTATAGGGGTCTTCCTATCACGACCTTTTGGATCTGCAACATACTCATGTGATTAAAGAATCATTTCTACAGAAGATTAAAGGAGATGATGTTTAAACAAATGACTCATGTTTATTTACTGTTGTGGAATACTAATAGCTTACTGTATAAAAATGAAATGTAAACAATTTATTTCTAAAATTTCAGTAATAGACTACAATATTTCAGTTATACATAGTAAGATGCATTACTATGATGTATTTTAAAGAACTGCTTATTTTTATTTGAAAATAGTTTTTTTAATTTGAAATTAGAAACTTCTTTGTTTTCACATCATAGAAATATCTGGCATAATAATCTCCAAAAACCAAAGGGAATACAAGAAAATTCATTGAGGGTAGGGGACCAATGCGGAGAGAAGAGAAAAAAACAAATTATACCTGTTTCCAAATATTGCACTGCAGATGAAACAGCCTTTTTCCGTTCATCTTCATTGGAGTCCTTGCCAATCCAAAGATAAATTGTATCATGGATATCGAGCACCATAATGTCTTCCGAAAGCAGGTCACATTGCTGATAATTGATTATTTCTTCCACTGATTGTCAGAAGAAAATTCAATATCATGAAACGTTAAGTAAATTATTTCATGTCATTGAAAATGTCTAAATGATGTAAATATATCATTGTCATATATAAATACAAAATATGTTTGATTTTTTAATGTGGGGGAATTTAAATGCATATTTTCCAATTTGACTTTTGAAATTGAAGGATTTTCTTACATTTTAAAGATTTTGCAGGTTTCAAAATCTATTTTTTCCACTTCCTTGAATGAACAAGGTCTAGAAATAACGTGAGTATACAGAAGCACCCAAGAACTGATTCTGTAGTTCTTAATTTTATTCAACAGATTTACTTTCCTTAACATGGAAAATTATTCAGAATTCAATACAGGAGAAAAAGGCATTGCGATGCATTGCAGAGCATTGCGATGTCGTGAAAGATTTTTAAACTTTAAAATTAAATTGTAATATTGTCCTTTTATATTTTTATATAAACACTATATATTGGCCATATTTTGAAGAAACAGATTTCAAGAGTGTTTTATTAAAAAAATATTGTTGAAAATTCTAATTTATTTATTTATTTCTAATTATACTGTATTTTGTCATAAATTGTTAACAAATAAACTTCAATTAATATCACCAAGTTTATTATAATAAATGACTGTTTAAAATCTGCCCATTTCTTTAAAATGTCAATATATATTTATATTTTTTTTACACTTTCCTTCTAGTCAAACATTTCAAAGTTATGGTAACTATCTACAGTTTAATTCTCAATTATGTGTGCAAAGTGTAAAAGTTTCTCTTTGTGATAGATTTCTCTTGATAAAAATTATTTGTTTTTTTGTATCTCTGAACTAATGGTAGGTAGTCAGAGTTGAAATTTGGAAAATCTGCAGCAAATTTATTAATAACTTTTAGTTCACATTGAAAGGAAGAGGTGCAATTCAAGCTAAATATGTTTTTGTTCTAGGCCATAACTTTTGCAAGGAATCGTGATTGAAATTATTTTGCCTTTGCCTTACAGGTTATCTCCATGTAGGTGTGCTAATGAAATAATATTTTGAAACTGAGGACATAAAATATTATAAACAATCAAGTGGTGCAATTGTAATGACAAACAACACAATTTTTCCAAATTTGATGTACTCCGATGAATGTAATCGAAATAGACAGTGTACATTTGAAACATCATTTAATGTTTGGTAGTACTGTACTACACTTCAAGGCTTAAGTTAATTTTCAAAACTTTCTCAGAAATGGCTGTAGAGTTTTCTTTTACATATAGGTCAATGGATTATATCTAAATCGATTCAAAGAGATTGAAGTATGATTGTAATTATGGTGTGTGGTTGTAATTAAATCGGCAAGTTTTTGAATAGTGCAAAACCTTTCCATCCTCTCTTACACCTTCATTTTAAAATTCACTTTATGTTTTTTTGGATTTAAATAATTCATTACTACTCTTCAAATGATTTCGTTACACACTGAAGGATATGACACAAGTGCTTTTTACATTAACAGTATTGAACTTTCATTCTGTGCTGTCCTTCCGTCCTGAAGGTGAAAGAGAAACTTTGCAAAAAGGGAACGATGTATTTCTTTTTCCACTAAAGCTGTTGAAAAGTTAAAAATAAATATTGTATGTGAAAAAATGTGGAACTGATTTCGAAATTTAAAAATAATTCCAAATATACAATTTAGCAGTGGTTATTTAACAAAAAAATATGCCCCATAAAAGTGATTGCTGAACTCGAAAACTAGCTTTATGCTCTATTTTGTGTGTGTTTGTAATTGATAGTCAACAAATGTAACAAAAAAGTGCGTGTGCATTTAAGATCATATTTTTGTACTTTCCAGGGCAACTTGTAAGTAATTACAAATATGTGAAATAATTATTTTTAGAAGTTTGTATGAATGTTTTTATTTCTGCTGAAATAATTGTCTAACTTATTTTAGTGATGGCTTCATAATGACAAGGTATGAATGTAATATAGAAGCTAAATGTATCATATGATTTTTTAAATTACCTCTGATTGATCCGCCCTTGAAGAAGAGTTGGAAAAGTCGTGCTGGCAATCTCTCACCGTCAGCAATGCGTTTGTCACTTACATATTCATCTTTCCCTCCAATCTCTTCCCAAAAGTCATTTTTTTCTTGGCCTAAAATTTTTTTTTTATAAATGCAAATATTCAATATGAAATAACTATTTATGATTATTATGTTGATCGTGTGTACCTTCTGATACGAAAGCAAAATCTCCTTTGGATGCAATTTCAGCTATATGCTTTGCCATCTCTCTTTCATCTCCTGTGGAACCTTTTCCACACCAAACATAGCAATTGTTCTTTCCTTTCAGAACAAAAACATCATTTGAGTTGAGTGAAGATGCTTGTAACTCCACCTGCAAATAAATTAATGGATCTCATTTTGCTGTGAAAAAATAAACTACTACATTATTTGTCAAATTTATGTTTTTGGTCTTTTACCTGAGTAGCTCTGGTATTATAACTGTTGTTACCCTGAACTTGCAATAAGAATGTCTGCGGAATCCCTGTGTCTTCTGAGTCTTCTCCTGAACATAGTTTGTAAAATTTAATCTAACAATTATTCTTATGTAAATGCATGAAATATTAACAAGTAACGGATTTGTTATGTGAACTCTAAGAATTTTTAAATTAGTGTTATAAGTATGATTACCATCATCAGCAGATGCATATCCACCATTGAAAATAAGAATACCACGATGAAACATAGCCAAGAAATGAGCAGGCTCCTTCTCTTGCAAAACTCTGATTTCAAGAGCTTCTCCCCCAAGTTCATTGTCTTTCTCTTCCACTTTGAGGGCAGCCACTTCACGTTCATCATCACTTGACTGATCACCCTATTTCATTATAAGTACATTTACTTAGATAGTGTGGTATTGACTTAAGATATTGCAAAATTTGTATCAATATAGGAAAAAGGCTGGACTTACCAGCCAGTAGTAAAGAACGTGGTGCTCTGTCCCATTAGCCCAATAAGAGTAATGAATAACATAAGAATCTCCAGCAAAGAATAACCCGTGCAGTTTATTGGGCACTTCTTCTAGTTCAGAATCTTTAATGCGCCAAACAGTGCATGAGCCAGAGCCATCATCCCATAGCTGGTTGTCAGCAGCCAGATGTGGTTGATCATAGAATGTTGCTGCATCCTGTTTTGTTTGAACTGTAATTGCAACACGGCCTCCTGTAGGCAAAATAATTATCTATGAAAAGTTAGGAATTGAATTTCAGACTTGAGTAATTGGAGCAGAAAAATGTAATTGATAATACTGCCCTCCCCCCTCACACACACACATGCATATACATGTACATATTAGTTTATTTCTGAATCAATTTCCATAAATATCTCATTTTAAAACAGTGAACTTGTAATTTGATTAGATTGCATTCCATACTCTATTCAGGCAAAGTGGTTACCATGTTACCATAGCAACCATGTTGTCAGTGATTTGAAGTCTCAGAAACTGCAGATTTTGTAGATCATGTGATTGTAGTGAACAGTGAATTCCAGAAGTTCATTCACTACTGTGAATTAAACAATCTGCAGTGCATATCTACTTAATTCATTGTCTAAAAATACAAATCATTAATAACTTTCCTTGTGTATCTTTGGAGGGAGTAAAAATACATGATTTTAAGGATTGATCAAAGAGGAACATTGGAATTTATATATTTCATTTTTCTTTTAAGATCTGGCAAGAGTTCTACCTATCTTGCAGCTACCTGATATTGCCCTTTTGTGCAGAAGACTGATGACAAGACAATGGGTGAAAATGTGAAGTTTAGATTTGTGCAACATTTCATCTAACTTTATGAGGGCTGGTAAGTAAATTGAATGATGCATACAATGCATAATTTATGGCAGAGATTCTACAAAATGCCAAACAGTACAACATACCTGGAGCTGATCTACCAACTGCCAACATTTGGTTTTTGTCTTTCCATGATTGAAATAACACTCTAAATTCAGTAGGTTCTCCTCCATCCACTACTCTTGTCACTGGTGTAGTTGCTGGATATCCTTTCTTGGTTACAAAACCATGAGCATTGCGCACTGCTTCTGTCCTTTCCTTCTGTGGTGTTCTTTTTCCAATCCAAACCCAACACCCATGAATACCATTGTCAACAATAAAGGAACCCTGAAGAAGAGAACGATTGTGTGTGCAGTATTAAACAGGTCAGTGAAAAAATGTGGGGGAGTGTTGAACACAAAATGTAGAATACGTACATCAGAGTGGAGGTCAGATTGATAAAGTGGTCCAGATTTCAACTCCACAACTTTGTAGGTACCATCTTCATCCTCACATTGGTACAAAGTGAGAAGATTTCTTAGACCTGATTCTACTTCATCATCTGCTCCTGCTTCTTCAGCACTCTTTATCACTCGCTCACTAAGATTCAGATGTTCATTAAATATTTTCTTCTCTCCTGCATGCATGTCCTGTTCATCTCCATCATCAACAAACACAAGAGCTGAAGCATTGTGATCATCACGCAATTTTCCAGCAACCTACAAAATTATTGAAGCTCATTGGTTAATTGCTTTCAAGAACTTGAGTTAGTTTATTGGAAAAAACAGTTCTTATTCATATTTTTTTACAATGTTTAAGTATTTATTAAGAACAAAGATTTTAATAATTACCACAGCAGCCTTAAGTTTCTCTCCAGCATTGGCTCCTTGTCCTATCCATAAGAAGACTACTTCTTTCGTATCTAATATGAACACATCTCCATCATTAAAGTATTCCCAACTTATAGCTGGCAGCTGAGTGACTGTTGGTTGTCTGCGACCCTTGACATGGAACAGCTTGGGTTCAAAGTCATCTGTCACCTTGTTGAATCCAGACTCGACACCTCCTTTCAGAATCCTGTTCAGATTGATTTAGAAAACACTGGAGTTGTTGAAATATAATTAATTTAATTTAAAGAATATACCAATATTTTATAATCCATCTTCTATAGTGCATTGGAAGCAGCATTAAATTCACAACAACCAGGTCAAAGTAAATAAAATTAGATAATTATAGTATGATTCTTTTTAGTTGTACACTTGACATAAATAAGATTTTGTGGTTTCATCCAATCAGCAGCGGAAATGTTGCTACAGTGATGTCACTATGGGGACATTCCATCTCCCGTTTGGATGAAACCGTGAACAGCTGATTTATGTCAAGTGCACAACTAAATAAATCATACTATAATTATCTAATTTTATTTACTTCGGCTTGGTTGTTGTGAATTCAATGTGCGTAGTTAAATAAATTGTAGTATATAAGTAGGGCTCATATTCTGATGACATGACATTTTTTCATTGGTGCTTTGTAGACTTAGCTAACTTGTAAATGAATGTTTATCATGACATATAAGTGTATAGTTATTGGATAATTTTTGCCATTTTTCAATTTTTTATTTTTACCTTTGCTTAATTTTTTATCATTTTTATGTTTTTTTCTCCTTTTCCGTTTTTCTTTTTGTTAATGAGTATTTCATGAATTTACAATGACTCATTAAAACAAAGTTTTTATTGTATCATCAGTTCAAGACGAAATTCATTACTGCAATGGACTTTGTTTTTTTAAACGCTGAAAATTACACGGATCTTCCGCAACTCTCTTGACCTTTCAAAATCAATGATTGGAAGATCAGAGCTAAGAATTACATTTCCTCCTACAATGAGGACTTCATATTAAACATAATTTTATATAAATAAATTTTATTTAAAATTGTTAAGTTTATTGATTAAATAAACATTATCATTCATATTGTTGAGTATTTAAAAAAAAAAAAATAGATCATTTTCCCTTATTTTTAATTCTTTTAGATCAGTTTTCTCTTATTTTTAACTCTTTTTTGTAGGTCATTTTGAATGAATTTTTAGGTCATTTGAATCTGAGCCCTGATTATAAGAAAAGTTAATGTGGAATTTCTACACAAACCACTGTTTAATTTCCGTACAAAGATATTTATGTCAAAACTAGCTTGTTAGTGCCCATTGTTATTTATTTACAATTTCTAAAATCTTTGCTCTCCTTTTAGAAGTTATTGCTGTTAGATTTACATTCCATTAACATTCATGTTGTAGAATTTAACACATTTGATCCTGAGGGATAGGCCATGTGGTTAACTCCTGGATCCTGGGTAATATAGCTGTTATTCAAAATGTAAAACAAAAACTATTGTACACATCAGTTGGAAATTGAGAAAAGACAATTCTATAAGATTTTATCTTTAAGTCTGTATGTATTTTATGATCATTTGATGATAAGATAGATGGTAGTGAGAATGGATTTCAAAGAATCACATGTCAATTTTATATTTTTGTAGAAAGTAACAATTTTACAAAGTATGGGAGGACACACTGTGAATTTCATGTGTCAACAATACTAGTGCATTACAATTATATTATGTTAAAGTTCAGATACAGTTCCATTTGCATATCAATTTATTTCTGCCTTTATTTTTTGAAATATACTCTGGTAAAAAAATGATGAAAAATAGTCTAGTTCAGTTGAGTCTTTTACAGGCAATTTTATTTCACTTGTTTTCTCAAACAGTGGGAATTGAGATTGTTTCTCAATTTCACAGCATTCTAAAGGAAATGTCACTTGAATTTGAGAAGATTCAACAATAGAATAATTTGCATCATTATTACTCTCCTCGATATAATTTTCATTGCTCAAACTGTAGGTTTCAAACTCATTGCTCAAACTCAGGCATAAAATTGATGTCCTCATCAGAAGAATCCAGTTCCGATCCATTATTCAAATACTCTTGAACTTCTTATGCTGAGAATCACTGTGAACTTTTTAACTATGTCTTCTAAACATTTGCATATGTTACTAATAGCATGAACACTACTTACAAAGAAAAACATTCTGAATGTTATGAACAGTGCCCGCAAATAGGAATATCCAATCACTTCTTGGAAAAATTTCAAATACTTGCAAAAAAAAAATAGAAGTACATATTGGAGTTCATCCTGCAACCACCTTAATGACATTAAAAAGTATAATCTAGGTGCCTACGATCATTCAAAAGATTTTTATTACCTGTCAAAGACTATAAATGTAGAAGGATGTATGGCACAACAGTAAAGTAAAGATGATGTATCAAAAGTAGGATCAAAAATGTTAATATTTACATAAATGTTAATAGTATGTTATTGAATGACCAAGAAGCTGTGAAGTGAATTAATTAAAGACCCCGTTAATTGAGAAATAAAGATAAATAACTAAGTAAATTACAAACCACAATTTTAAATTAACTTAATTTCAATCAAATGCAATTTTTTAAAATTAATTTCAATTACCAATAGTTGTAAAGTAGAAAAGAGAGGTCACCTTTTCCAAGAAGCTTTGGCCCTTATAGATTTGAGACAATGTTTGGCCTATGTTGGCATGGAACGGAATTTATCCCAGATGTCCCTTTGCAATGAAGACATCATTATGCGGAACTCTGATGTTAAATGAATTGTTTCTAGAAATGCTAATACCTTGCTTCATTTTAAATAAAAATTCTTCAAATCATTTATTACCCTGACAGTTGTAGCTTTCCAATTAAAAAAGGTGATGGGTTGGCAAACATTGAGTGCCAATTTAAAATATGACACCAACTCTAAAATCTAATATTTCATAGAGTTAAATACAAGAAGATGTTTTTATCTTTCTTGCTTCCTTTCTTTCAGTTTCAAGCACTCGCATAATTGAATCTTTTAAGGATGAATAGAACAGTTCCGAACAACGAAGCTGAAAAAGTCTGTTATAACCTCTGAAAAATTAAATTAGAATGCAGCCCTTAGAAGGTAGTGATTTTTTTATTGCTTGAATATGAAAAAACTCGAAATGATTTATAGCAACAGTAAAAATTGACATAATCAAATATGACAAAAAACTTAGTAGATATTACAATATGTTGCCTTTTCCTAAACAGTAATAATTTACAGCGAATGAATGTTTTTAAATCGCATTTTTGATTATTTTCCTTAGTGGTGTCCCTGCTTGCGGGGAAGGGGGGGGGGGGCAATACCCAAATCCGACCGAATATATCTCACTTATTGAAACAGTCTGTAATGAAACTACTGGCCAGCAACAATTCCTGCTGAAAACTGCTTACGTGATTCCGTCTTTGAAGTAGGACTTGAAGCGCCCCGACTCCATGCCCTGCGCCTCGCGGTGCTGGGTGGGGGTGCCGCCGAGGTAGTCGTCCAGCTCCACGGTCTTATACGCCGCTACGCCCGCCTCGTCTTGCGAGGTGTCGTTACCCAGCCAGAAGTGGATGTGGATCTCCATGCTGTTGCCGGTCACCTGGTACACCTGCAGAAGCACCAGTGCAATGAAACCCCGTTTATCACTGTTTGTTTGCGATCGTTTCTTTTGCCGTTAGCCGCGATGCCTTACTTTAGCGTCTGCAGCAGCCGCTTTTCCATACTCCGAGGCGGCGTAGATGATGTACGAGTCGCCGTCGTAGAAGGATCCCCAGGTAGCCTTAGGCACGGGAACTACTTGCATATTCTGGAAGATGACGAGCGTATTAATACGTAAATCAAGTGACAGCGGAGCACCCGAGCGTGTCTTCAGTTATGTTAATGTTTACCTCAATTCGCCATATGTGGAAGCCCGTATGTGTCGGGGAGATGACTTTGAAGGCGGGATCCGTTGCGGCTGCCATCGTTCTCCGGAATCTTCGATGTCTGAAAAACATGGGTAGGCGATTAGGAAACCTGTGTAAAGCGTATCCTCCCGAGGCAGCGAACTCGGCCACGGCGAGCACGCGCGCGCGCGTGTGCGTGTTTGTGAATGGGAAGCGCGGCCGGCGCTGCGCCGCCACGCCAGCCGCCGCGTTGGCCACGCTCGAGTTGTGAGCTGCCGTGGGTGGGTGCCGGTGTTTTAGCATGGCGAGGCCCCAGCGCACGCAGGCCGCCTCGCGGGGATCTTCCTTTGGAGGTGGTTGCGGAGGGGACAGGGGGCGAGCGCGCTGGCCCTCCAAGCACGGCGGACGCAAGTGTGGTCGGGTAGAAGGGCAAACCGCCCTTGTGGCCCCCAGCACTTTGTTTTGCGTTCCTTTTGTTTATTTGCATCGGTACCTCGCGCACGCAAGCACGGCTCAGCGAGCTGCGAACAGTGGTGGATCCAGGGGGGGGGGACACGGGGGCCATGGACCCACCCCTGGCTGCCAAGGTATACGATTGGGTGGCTGACATTCGGCTCCCAGTTCAAGGTTGTCATTAAGAGTGATTTCAGTTCTTCGAGACAATTGAAACGTGGCTGATTTCTTTTACAAAATACGGAAATTATGTATTATTTCGTGGTATAATGTTTCTACGCGGTTTATTGTGCTGGCACTCGTTAGGATGACCCCATTCCCCTAAAAAATTCTTCACATTCCTAATATCATTTTTGGCAAAATCACCTATGATACTTATTAAGTTTTATTGATTTCAACTGCTTAAATTTATATGAGAAATTAATTTAAGGTTAACTTTATTCAGAGGTGCACGGGGGGGGGGGGCAGAGGTAGTCAACCAACTTGATATTTGCTTATTATTAATTTTCCTTTATGCGGAATATAATAGTATTTTATTTAATAAATGCTTGAAGTAGACCAGCATATACAAATTAATTATTCACGAGCGCGTTAGCGAGAGTGTATAATTACTAACAAGCACATAATGGTCTTTCAGGCCGTGTAATATTCAATATTTCATATTATCCGATCCTCTTTGCAATATTTTGAGCGTTTCTCTTCAAGTAAGAATAATAATGAATGGTATTATATTGATTTCGACAGTACTTTCGAGGCCTTGGAGGGTATATTTGAATTTACAATCGCTAACTTGCGTGAAAATGGAAGGCTCGTAGGAATGCACTATTCGAAAGTATGCACTGTACTTTATTTGAGGAGTATTATAAGTAAATGTGTTATTTTCATTAATACATGATTAAGTTTGTGTTTCTATGTTCCTTCATTTTTCAATGAAATCATGTTTTTGTGTGCGTTGCATTGTTCAGTCCGCCGGCTGCAGTTTAGCTGTTTATCGTGACAGTTACTTTATTACAGGGCTGAAATAAAGAGCCATTTCATCGACTCCAGACACGTAAGTAAGCAGCCTTCAAAGGCGATCGAATAAGAAAATATATTTTTATTTGTTCATTTATAATTTATATTCATAACGTAAGCAATTGTTATATTGAATGTCTTCCGTTATCATAGAAAATTAGTATAAGTTATATATTTTTAATGTGTATCATTGGCTTTGGGGGAAGGGGGCTGCAGCCCCATGAGTCCCGCCCCCTCCCCCCATTTAGGTACGTCTCTGACTTTATTGCATAGATGCAAAGATAACTACACTCTCTTGTCTCTCGCTGCTATATTTATATTCGGATTTAAGACATTGGAAAACTAATTAGACTCATGATTTTTTGTAAACGAGTACATTTTAGTGATTTCTTCCAAATGTGTTAAAAATTAGTGGAGTATCCACACGAAAAATTTCCATTCGTACGGTCTGATACTTTTCTAGTGCTTGCTAACATATCAGTACAAATCTTTACTTTTATTGCGATTCTGCGTGTAGATACTGGTACATGCGACCGAAAGATGCATAGCAAATGAAATTTCTGTGCATCTATCATGGAAGCAGAGGAATTATTTTGGTGCCTATAAGCAGAAACGATTTCACCGCCATTTTTTTATATCTCTCCAAAAAATTCTGAGATAGGTACGCCCGAGACGCATTATGTTTGTAATAATGACCATAACGATATTCTGGGTTCGATTTATATTTTTTTTAATCAAAGTTATAATTTTGATTTTAATTGTTTCATTATATACAAATATTTAAAATGCTTATAGAAATTCATGTTTTATTTCTGGAGTACTGGTGCGTGCTGTTTCAGATTTAAAAAATGTATTTTTCCAAGCAAAGTTATGCTGCGATTCTAGATACTTTGCATAAGAATAAAAACAATTCTGCGAGGAAATAGTTTTTTGTCGTAAGAAAAATGAATAGTAACTTTTATATTCACCCTACGGATCGTTTGAAGACTGGGTTCAACGAAGGTCGGATTATGATACCTGCGGCTCCACATTATGCAATTTGATCGGTGTGAAGATATGCTCGATAGAGATATCTGCTGTTGGCTCATCAAGCGCGATAAGAGACCGCCTGCGGACGGAGCCTTATATGGAGAATGGGCCTAGCTCGTGTCCGACAACGCGCGCCGTTCGTCGCGCGAATTCGCCGTAAGCGAGGAAGGCGTTTTTCCGTTGCCGGCGCTTAATAGGTGCCGTGACGAAAAACCGCGGGCCAGAGGTGGCGAGGCCGGCCAGCCGACCGTCCTGGCTGAAGAGACGTGGCGGGGGCGGAGGAGACCGAGCTTCCGTCGATTCTGCTCGTCTGTCTGCCCGCCCGCCCGCCGCCGGGGTCACAGCGTGCTGCCTCCGCAAATGACACCACCGCCCTCTTCCCCGCACGCCAGCCCGCCCGCCCGCGGTCTTGTCTTGGCTCTTGGCTGCGGGTCTCCTTTGCCAGCCCGCCGCGCCGCTCTCCTGCGATTTGCATGCGACCGAAAGCCACGCTCCCTCCTTTTTGCTTCTTTTTCGACGTTCTCAGAACATTTATGACTTAGGTGCTGAAAGGAATCTAACGGATCTTTAGAGCGAATGGCAAAATGCTTCCTTATTTGCTTACTCCCCAATTTGCCACATCCTGATTTCTAATGGTTAATACAATATTGTCGTGTTTTGTTTAATTCAATGTTCAGTACATTAACTTAGCCGGGGAATCGAACTCGGATGACCTAATTGGCGTGTATTTTTGTTTTATTATTATGGAATTTCGTATATTTTTGATACAAACGTAGATCTTAACCTTTGCTTTGGCGTAGTAAATGTTATTGAAACATTCCGAATCTTGGAATGAGAAAATTTCCGACAGCATCTTATACTTTGTTGATTTCAGTTTGTATTGATTAGAAGAATACTAAGGATCAATGAAATGTCTTTCCATCTCAATAACTGATAATTTTCTTTTACTACATTGGACTGTGAACTTGACACCTGAATCAAATTAATTTTGCTCCAAGTTAGATTGAGGTGCTGCATCGAAGTAAATTATTCGATTAGTAATCAGTGCGCTTCGTGTTTTTGGAATTCTCAATCTCTTCGGCATCAGGAAAACTATTACTAAGTTGACGACGTACTATTTTCCTGAAAATGTACTTGATGCAGGTGTGCTTGCTTCATTCTAATCTTCTCCTATCAATATCTGATGGAATTTAACACAACGTTATTCAGAAAACAGTAAATCTTCGTGATGTCATTGATAGCAAGTCAGAGTTTCTCCTTCCTGGAGCAGGTTGATAAAATACCTTTTTAAATCGCTGTGCGCGAAACATGATACCTCAGGCTCGTTTTCCGTATGCGAAAAAGTTATTCTAACAGTACGCGAACATTTTCGAAGAATGCGTAAAACGTCAGGCTCGCCTTTTGTCACTCTCGCATACGCTCGGGCGACAAATTCGACTCGTGCACGAATCACCAGTTCTACGTAATGTACTATGTATTTCACTTTTTCGTAATATACTGTGTATTCTTTGATTTTAAATGAGGGGCTTTTGATGTACGATTAGTTGGGATGCGGTTATCCAATGGAGAGCTTTAATACCAAAAATTAAGACGTAACTAAGTGTCCGATTGGATAACAGCGCCCTGCTGATCGTACGTCAAAAGACGCGCTACGAGTATTTAAATTGAACTATATTTGTTATACTTCGATTTTTCTGTAGTGGCCGATGATATTGGGTCATTGTTACACCTCCTGCCTTATAAAATGAATATTTTCTCAGCTTTGACCCCACCAATTTAGATGTTGATAATCCTACCACCGCGCCGTCGGGTTTCGAACCTAGAACCTTCCAGACTACGAAGCTTCAGTTGTGGACACGCGATGCAATCTGTGTTTTTTGAAATATACAGTTTAGTATTTTTTATAATTTTGTAATAGTGATACCTTTTGTATTACGTTATATTTGTAATTTTGAATTACCGACATTAATATTTCTATAGAAAGTAAAAGTGAGCATCGCTTACATAAATACAAAACAGTATTGTAATCGTGTCTTTCTTTCGGTAACAGCCAATATGATTGCCTTCCAGCGGCAAATGGGTTCAGTCTGCTGCCCTCTATACTCGCTAGAGCATCAACTGTTTTTATCCTCCGGAGGTAGATAACAGTATTTCCTAAATACCGAATGGGAGTTAAACAGTGGTTGGGCACACGCAGCTGGTCGGGCGAGTTTGGTTAGAATGGATGCCTATCTACGCGGATTCCAGAGCGTAAATATACTCATTACGACATTCCTGTGGTTCTTACGAAATAAAGAAAACAGTAGATATAATAGTAACTTCTAAAGCCAAACAACCAATCGATAAATGAAAATGGATATCAAGCGTCATCATATGAATTTCTGCTAAATTTTGAATAATCATAATTCGAAAGTTACACGTTTCACCAGTCGATTTTGATGACTGGGGTAGGTGAACACGAAGGAGTATGCATAAAATTTGAACAAAGAACAACAAACAGTACTTTTTAAAGTGGGGAAACTCCAATGTATTTTTACCGTTAACTTTACTTGCGCAAAATAAGTGTTAGGGGGAAGGAAATGCTTTTAGAACACGGGAAAGTGTGTTAACTTGAAAGCAGCTGCAAGGAGTAAAAATCAACACTACTTGAATACTCTTCGTGATGAGCTGTATTTTGTACCTGTTGACTGCTAAGACCGCAAAAAGTGTTACGCGCTACTAGGATAGAATGCCAGAAGACCTTGAAAGAGAACAAACTACTCGATTTCACGTCGGAGTGAGTAGCGACGATCGCCGGTGCAATTGCTTCCGGTGGGGAACAAGCAAGGTGATTCCCAGACATACGGATCTGACGAAATTTATATTTTTTATGTGGTTTTTGGCGAGTATTTCTTGAGATATACCAAGTTTGCGGTATTAATTTATTCTCCGGAAGTTTTGCCAATATTTTCCAATTTTTACTTTTGTTTACTAAAAAAGATAATTCAAAAAATTACTTTGCAGTCCACACTTAATTTTAAGTGAAGATTTTGCGTTCAAGGTTGTGAATTTTGCAAGCGTTGCAGAAAACTTGCCTAGGCATGTTCACCATTAATTGTTGTAATCTGTGTTGTT